ACCAGGCCAGAAGCTGGGGTTGTGTTGGGGCCTGGCTGGGGCGCTGGCATCACTACAGCTCTGTTCTGCCAGCACTGCCTCCCCGTGTCTATCCTTTGGGACCTATCCCCAGGGTAGGCATCTCCTCTGGCTTGGATGAGGCACCTGCCACCTCCCTGCTGGTCTCTGGCCTTGTCACCAAAGTGCCCTGGGGTCTCAAAGGGACAGGAACTAGTGACCAGGCCATGGCATGACAGGGCCATGTTCTCCCCTGTCAGCTTGTCCCTGCCCGAGTCCTCTGACCTCTCAACTGAAAGAGGATCCAGGGGCCACCAAAGGGTCTACACAGCAGATGCTGCAGCAGAGCTGTCTCTGGTGACCCAGGTCACCATGATCTTCCACGGGAAGACGGACTCCAAGATTCCAGCTTCAGAATCCTTGCCTCGGTGAACTCCAAGCGAATAGTTTCCTTCGTCCTCGCTGTCCCAAGGACAGGACCTTGTGGCTTTTCTGGCTGCCCCCACGTCACCACGAGCGTCCACTGGAAGATGGACTCCGAGACACCCAGCTCAGAATCCTCGCCCTTCCCGAACAGGTGTTGAATGTCCCTCGTCCTCGCTGCCCCAAGGACAGGACCCCATGGCTGCTCCGTCCCCGGGGAGCAGCTGCTGCCTGGGAAGAACCTCGTTGCCTCTTTTGGTGCCCATGGATTGCCCTGCACTACTGCCTCTGTGCCTGCAAGTTAACTGATTTATGGTTTAAAAGAAACCAGTTAGGTCAATAAATAGTGGCTGGAGAAACATGAAGGACTCTGTGGGTTTAGGCACCTGTGTTCACACATGGGGAGCGGGGCGCTGGAAGCCTGGAGAAGGTAGTTTGGAGCCGCGCACAGGGCCTGGGCTGAGTCCCGGCTCCAGTGCCCAAGGCTGCCACTGCCTTGGTTTCCCACCCCCTGGGACTCTGTTTCTGGCTCTGTCAAGGGGGTGTGAGTGACAGGAGAACCTGCCTCCAAGGAAGCCCCCGGAAAAGCACCAGACTCCCCTGGCTGCTGGGTAGGGCTGGGTCCTTAGAGGCCTTTGATGTCTGGGCAGGGTTCTGGGAGCTGTCAGCCTCTGTGGGTCCTGGGGCTGTGGGGGAGCTGGCTCCTTCCTGTGACCCCACTGGCCTTTCCTTTGTCCTTGTCCCTTCTCCTTGCCTCTCTGTCCCTCCCCTGTTGGAGGCCTCAAGCCTGATTTGGGGCTCTCTCCCCTTCTTTGCCCTCAGGGAGATCCAGGAGCAGCCAGGACGAGGGCACCTGCACCTCCCTGTGCCTCTCCTCCCCCCCTGCCCACAGGGAACCCCCGGTGCCTGCTCTAAGCCATCTTGCCTTCTCTGACACTTCTCCAGCCCAGTCAGGAGTGCTGCCTCTTCCCTGCTTCCCACATCCCGTATGGACCTGACCTGCAGCCCCCCATATTGGGTAATGGTGGTGGTCATCCTGCCTCCAAGTGCTGGGGCCAGAGTGAGTGAGGTTATGGCTGCGAAGCTCCCAGCCGTGGACCAAGAACATAGAAGAGTTCAGGGAAGTGGCTTTGCTGGGGTCTCCCCAGAGATCCAGGACACCAGGAACAGGCAGGATCCACCCACACACCAGGCTGCAAACTGGCAGCCTGGGGGACTGTCGCAGCTCAGTTAAGTTTGCTGTGGTTTGTGCTGTGTGCAAAGTTGTGGTGCTGATGTTGAGACTTTCAATCACACGGAGCTGTTGGGGCTTCTCTGGGCACAGGGGAAGGTTTGGCAACACCAGGGTCCAGGGTCTGTGGCTCCAGTGGTTTCAAGTGCTCAGGAATGCACCCGCCCTTTGCAGGTGCTTGCAGCCTCCCTGGTCGGGCGCAGTTGGAGTTGGAGTTTCAGCTAGGAACCTGTCCACACGCAGTGTCTGATACTGGGCCGAGGGACTCCCAGTGCACAGAGCTGCGCTGCTGGGGAATCAGAGCCCCAGAGACCCCACAGGCCTGGGGGGCACAGGGAATGCCTTGGTGGTGGGTGCCCAAAGTGCACCTCAAGGCAGCACTCGGACAGAAAGGGGTCTTTAGTGTTTGGGAAAGTACAGAAGGCTGCAAGGTGACTGCTAAAGATCCCACCACTGCTGCAGCTCAGGTCACAGCCTCTGTCCCCATCTGGGGACAAACACAAGGCAGAGTGAACCAAGGTCCTGAGGGATGGGACCCAGTGTCCCTGATCTTCAGTGGTTCAGGGCTGTCCCTGGGGATGTCCATCCGCAGGCTCCTCCTCCTGTGTGTGCAGGGAGAGTGAGTTCTGGCATCTGGACGCCCACGTGACAGTCTGCCTGGGTTCCCTTCCCTGACACCAGCGATGCAGAGCAATTCCCCTCTTGAGAGGGGGGCTCAGGCTCCAGGTCCAGGGGCTGCCTCCCCTCCCCCACTGGCTCCCTGTGGAGCTGGGCCTCTGCCTCAGGCTCAGCTTGCATTTCACAGCCTCAGCTCCACCCCTGCAGACCTGGGCTGTGGGCACTGGCCCCTCCTTCACAAACAGGGAAACTGAGGCCGAGATGAAGAGCCAGGCCCCTCCCCAGTGAGCGGTTCCTCCCAGGCCCAGGTGGCTGCTGATTCCTGCCCCACACAGGGAGCAGCTGGGGCAGAGCCTGGGCATCAGCACCCGGGAGCAGCTGGCCAGACCTGGGCCCAGGGGCTAAGTGTGGAAGGAGACCTGTGACAAGAACTTCCTTAGGCCAAGTACATGGAGTGGAGTGTATCTGAGAAGAGCATCATACAACAAAAATGATACAAGAACCAGGCAGCTCTGGGAATGGAGCAGGTTCTGAGGTGGCTCATCCAGGACAGGTGCACAGCACTGCTGGACCACGGGAAGTGGGTGCAGAGATCAGCACCATGGCTCCAGTCAGTGCCCACAGCTGCAGGGTGGCCAAGGCTGAACTAGTTAATTGCTCACAGCCTAAGTAGTGACCTGGCTATGGGGCCTTGTGCCACAGCCACAGCGCAGTGCCAGGATGAAGCTGTTTGTGTCTGTGGGCCCAGTGCAGGTGCCTGGCCCTAGTCGTTGGCTTCCCATGAAATTAGCACCTGGTGAGGCTTCCCCAGATGTCATTCTGATGTCTAGAGGGAGAAAGGAGGTGGCTAGGTGATGTTTTAATTGAATTATGCACGTCCAAGAGCAAATTCGTTTTTTAGGATCTCGGTTCTGGGACTCGTTGTTGACCTTGGGCCACTAGTGCTGGGGCGTTGGTCCAGGTGCCACTGTGACTGGATCAGGGGGCCGGGAGTAGGTGCAGGGTGGAGCCACAGGGCGTCTGCGCACACTGGGCCCGCCCCGCTCCTGACTTGGGGACGGGAAAGATTGGGGACCCGGTGTGGGGAGCAACTTGGACTATACTGTTACTGGAATTAAGACTTATTCTATGCATCTGCTCTCCCACAATATGGCGCTGGGAGAGGAGAAAACAGCTTCTACGCAGCTGCCTCTTGCCAACTTGAGTGATGACCTCCAGGAGCTGATCCTGCTCCTGATTGGAGGAGAGCAGCGTACTCGGCGTGTGGGCAGCCGAGTTGGGATTGGCGGAAGAGGACTATAAAGGAGGAGAGAGACAACATGCACCAGGAACATCTATCTGAAGGAACACCTGTGCAGCCCCCGAGAGAGCCGGCCGGCGGTGTGCCGCTCCCCCGCGGAAGTGGGGAATGTGGCGGGGGAACCGCCCTTCCACGGAGGTGGAAGGGTCGGTAGCCAACCCGGGAAGAACCAGCAGCAAACCCGGGGAGGGCCGAGCAGACGAAAGAACAGCGCAGGGTCCTGTGTCGTTCCTCCACGAAGACGGGGAGCGACAACCCGGGACAGCTGTGAGGGTCTGTGGAGCCCAGATGAGTCTGTGTACGCGTGGGGACCTGCCTCCGAGGGGGCGGCTCCATCCCATCAGGAGGAACCTGGGAGATACAGGGCGGAAGGAGGGAGAGCTCCTGCGCTTCCCGGCACTCGCGGGTCTCGGTGTGCCGGGCCACAAGGTGAGCCAGTGCCGGCCGCTCCACTTCTGATCAGCTCCCTGCTAATAGCCTGGGAAAGCAGCGGCAGATGGCCCAAGTGCTTTGGCCCTTGCTACCCACATGGGAGACCTGGAAGAAGCTCTTAGCTTCAGCCTAGCCCAGCTCTGGCTGTTGAGGCCACGTAGAGAGTGACCAGCAGACGAACGCTCTCTCTGTTCCTCTTTCTCTAACTCTGACTTTCAAACAAACAAATAGATTTTTTAAAGGGGGTGGAGGCAGTGGGAGGAGCAGACCAGGAGCTGAGTTTTGGATATGCTAATGCCAATCAGAGATGCCTGTGGGATCATAGCAGAGATTCTGAGTAGAAAAGTGGCAATGAACTGTGGAGTTAAGGAGAGAAATCTCGCTGGAAAGACGCACTTGCGTCACCAGGAAGTGACAGAAGGGAGAGCCTGCCCCTAACTGTCCTCGCCGCCCTGCAGCAGGCCTGTGCCCTCAGGCTGGTGCACACACAGGCACAGCCCGGCGTTCTGGAGAAAAACCGTTCCCCACGCTCCAGACCCAGCTCCCCACTTCCTCCCGGGACAAAGCCCTCCGCGCTGTCTCAGCGTCCGCCATCTGTAATGCCGCTCAAGCGCTCCACCCCAAAGAACACTGTGACGAGAACCCGCGTGTCGGCCACAATGATTCTCTTCTGCGGCTCAGTCCCTTGCAGCTGAGGAATCCCCCCCGCTACCCACCGGCCTGGGTTGGACCGCACATCCGTGGCTTCCCTATCTCCCTCAACGAATCCACCCAGCAATGTCAAGGCCTCAGCGCCCGGGACTCCCGCCCCGGAACGGGGCTCCCTCTCCCCGGCCAGGCACGGACGGGGCTCGGGATCCGCAGTTCCAGGAGGGACCGGTGTCGGGCAGGCCTGCGGACGCTGACAAAGCTCGCCGCCATCCCCTCCCACCACCCCCGCGCCTGACCCCGGCGACGAGCGGCGGCGGGAGCGCAACAGTCAGCCCCGGCTCACCTCACCTTCTCGATTTTGCCCAGAAAGAGCTTCCTGGAGCAAGCCCCGCACAAGAGACCTGGGGCACAGCGCGCGCGGGGTCCAGGCGAGGCCACCAGAGCCCGACACGGAGCTTAAGAGCCCGCGACAGCTCACTTTCCCCGCCTCCGCGACGCCGCCTCTGCGACTTCCGGCTCAACGCCTCAGCGCCGCAGCTGCTCCGCGCGGCCTGATGACGCCACTGGCCTGCGCCGCCGGCTCTGGGCCGGCTTCCGGCTGCTGCGCACCCTGGGAGACAGCGCTGATGGCCCCAGGGCTGGGGTCTGTTCCGCCTACGCGGGAGACCTGGATTGCGCTCAAGGCTGCTGGCTTCGGCCTGGCCCACTCACGACTGTTGCAGGCATTTTGGCGAGTGAAGCGGTAGAGGGAATGTCTGTCTCCCTCTCCACCTCTTTCCCTGTGTTCCTATTTAAAGAAAAACACTCAAATGTAATCCAACCTAGCAATCAACCAAGTGATCTGATAATGTGTCAGATCCCCCTAATTAAGCAAGTGAGAGCAAGTGGCGCATGTTTTCAAAACACCAAGAAAAGTGTAGAGTCAGGCGCTGTAGGGTGGTAGGTTAAGTCTCTGGGTGCCGGTTCCAATCCTGGCTACTCCACTTCCTCCCCAGCTCCCTACTAATGGTCTGGGAGAGAAGTGAAAGATAATCCAAGTGCTAGGGACCCTGCGCTCAGGTAGGAGACCAGGAAGAAGCTCCTGCCTCCTGTACTGACCCAGCTTCAACCATTTGGGCAGTGACCCAGCAAATCAAAGACCTCTCTCTCTCTCTCTCTAATTCTGACTTTCAAATAAATACATCTTAAAAAAAAAAAAAAGATGTTTTCCCTGGAGTGGAGAGGGAGTGAGTGGAGGAAGCCAATCCCAGAGGCCACCCCCAGAGCATAGAATATTCTCGTTCTCACTGGGGAAGAGCAGCATTGTGAGTCTTCCCTTCAGCTCACTTCCCACAAGAACTGCAGTAAAGGGATGAAAACAAAGACCAATCATTCATCTTGGACAGACAGGAGAGGAGACAATGGGTAAGGGCAACTGGACTGCCCCAGTGTGAACAGTTGACGTGGAGTTGAAGACTGAGACACACACATGCGTGCACTTGTGTTAGGGTCCAAAAAAAGCCCACCGCCCAAGGAACAACTCCAAGAGACTTTTTCTCTCATGCAACCAGCAAAGGGTTAAATTTATTGATCCAACATGTTGGGGCCCTCTGACAAGGACAGAGGAGCAGTGAGGAACTACAGCATAGGGTTTATAAAAGCAAAAACCGCAAAATCGGGAGGAGGGAGAGAATACACGGTTGCTAAGCGGTTGCTAAAATCTTACAATCAGCAATTATGATTTTAAGACATAGACAAATCACATCTTCATTATTAGCCCAGGTAACCCAGGTGCAACCTTTCTACTTTTAAGCTTGAGCAATCATGCTAGGGGGTTTTTGTGCGTTGCCAAGGGTGGTGTAGTGCACTGCTATTGTCCGACTATTTGAGATCATAGTTTCAGACCAGAGTCTCACGGTGGGGGGGTTGCTTTCCCAGAATGCAGTCTCAAGTGCTCCAAAATGGAGTCCCTACTGTCAAGGTGCTACTTTACTCTTATTTTCACAGCTGCACCAGGAAGGTTTTTAAACCTGTAAGCTTAAGCTTAACTCTTGACACCCACACATATACAATTTTAACTCTTCACTTGCACACATACATGCACACATAGTTGACCCTTCCAGCTCTCTCTTCTATTGTGGCTGTGGTCAAGTGGAAATCAGAAATGCAAAACAAGCACTCTGGGCTGCTGCTCCCAAGGTCTCTTGTCCCCATTAGCACGTGGCTGCCCTTGGCTCCAGGCAGCTTGAAAGTGGCTTTGGGAGTCTTCTGCTACCAGTAACTCCTCTGCACCTTGTCCCCTGGGCCCCTGGGGCAAGGAGACACCTCAAGGAGCTGTGGGACCCAGGCTGATGTGCACTGATGCCCACATGGAAGTGCCAGGCAGCGAGCCCAGTGTCCTTCTAGAATAAGGGGCTCACACGCAGGCATCTGGAACACTTGTTGCTGGGGATTACAGTAGCCCTGCCTTATCCTCAGTTTCTTTCTGTGGTTTCAGTTACCTGTGGCCCACTGCAGCCCAAAAACATTACATGGAAAGTTCCAGAAAAGGGCACTTCGTAGCTTTCAACCTATACAGCCTTCTGAGTAGGGTGAGGACATCTCACGCCATCGCACACTGTACCGTCAGGACACAAATCTTCCTTTTGTCCAGTGTATCCACACTGTATTCACTACTCACCCGTTAGTCACGTAGTCACGGTCTCAGATCTCAGGTCAGCTGTTGGGATATTGCAGAATGTGTGTTCAAGTAACACTTTTTATGTAATAAGGACCAGAAGGTGCAAGAGAGGTGGAGTCAGCAGTTTGCATGGGCCAAAACTAAGCTGCAAAGTGCTTCCTTGGAGTGAAATGGTAAACATTCTGGACTTCATGAAAAAAGAAAAACCTCCTATCCTGAGGTTGCTCAATCTACCAAAAGAACGAATCTCCTCTTGGTGGTGCTGTGCGGGAGGAAAAGGAAACCTCGGCTGGTTCTGCTGCCGCATCTCCAATCGCAAAGTCCATAGCCACAGCGCATGGCACAGGCTTGGTAAACAGGGAGAGGGCACTCGATTATAAGGGTCCCTCAGTCTGCAGTTTCAGGCATCTGCCGGGGGTCCTGGAACAGAACTCTGTGCATGTGGGGGGCAGCCGTACCTGCTTTCCGTTTCTGGCTCTGGTGAGCATGGGGAGGAGCCGGGCAGTCAAGGCTGGTCAGAAGGGCTGGGCGGGTGGCAAAGTTATTCCCAGGGCTTCATGGCTGGACCACACACAGGCACTCTGACCTCTGACCTGTCCCATTACCAGGACGGGAATGGATGGGAAGGAAAGTCATCTGGTTTGGAGGTTAAGTAGGTTTTTACTTCCCTTACTCTCTGGCGATAAAATCCGGTGTGCATTGGATTCCTGAATGTTGGCACACAGCCCTTTGCTTCCTCAGACCTGGGAAGGCCAAGGGGGACTTCAGCCGTCTGCCGTGTGGGGTTTAATCCCAGTGAGCCCTCCCACTGTGGTACGGAGCGCGAAGGCATCGCTGTTTGTGCCGTGTGCATCATGGTCTCTGTGCAAGGTCAAGTGTGCAATGGCTCTAACTGCCCAGTGTCCTTGTATTCAAGTTTGTCTCCCTTGAAAAGTGGTTGCAGTGGACTTGTGGGTACTGGAAAATAGAACTGGGAGTGGGAAATACTCTGGAAATACCACGTGGGGGTGCACTGAGCTCAGCTTCACACATCCACCTCCCATCCATTCATTCATTCATTCATCCGTTGCTTTGGTTGCTGCCTCACAGAGCTCACAGTATGGAGTTCTGAAGCCACAGGCCCCTCTTCCAGGGCTGCCTCCTAACTCGCCCGGTGAGCTCAAATCCTGAGAAAACCATTCCAGACAAGGCCATGGGCATTGGCAGGGGTTGGGCAAGGAGCTCTTAGGCTTCTAGGAGGAGGCAGCTTCCAGGGCAGAGTTCCAGGTCCAAGACCAGCAGTGAGATGCCCTGCGGGTCAGGGCCTGGGGGCAGCCTGCGGAGGCTGAAGAGGGGCTAAGGGGTAGCAGAGCCCTGACAGGTCCTTGCACGTCGTGTCCTTCTGCAGGCCTCCCTGGGCAAGGGGAATCAGCAGGAAGTGAGTGTCCTTCTCAGTGCAGGTGTGCAGGAGAAAGCTCACTCACGTGGCATCAGGGTGTGGTTCAGTCCCGCTGTCGCTGTGTCCTGGGAGCCTATGGCCTTAATACAGCTGTGTGCTTTGGTGTCTCCCGGGGCCTCCCAGGCCAGGACCCTGCTTCCTCTGCTGTTCCTTGGGGCCCTCAACTGCCACCCCAGGGCCTTGGTGAGTTCTCAGGAGCCTCTGTGGACTTGGCGTCCTTGAGCCTGAGCCCTGCCTCACTGTGCAGTCTTTCCTGGGTGCAGGGCGAGCTCCGAGGCAGTCATTCGGTTGCTGGTTGTTTTTCCCTCTTGGGGGATGGTGGTGGCCTGGTGAGCCTGGGCTCTGGCCAAAGACCAGAAGCTTCTATGCTTTTCTTCTCTAGGGCCAGGCTGAGTGGGGGTGCGTGCAAGTCTCTGAGATGGTGGAACCTCTGAGTGTCACCGGTGGGTTTCTGTGTGGCAGGAACCAGAAGGTGGGTCACCCTCACAGTGGTGCAGCCTGGGACCCCTGCCCCTCCCAGCCCACCCATGGAAAAGAAGGTGGTTGAGTAGTGGAGTCTTCACCGGGAACACTGACTGGGCCAAGGGGAGGGGCATCTCTGAGCCAGAACCCTGGGCCATCAGTGCCTTGGCCTAGGAGGCTGCACCTGGAAGGCCTCAAGGCAGGTACCAGGGGACCAGGAAGGCTGGGGGGATGGGGCATGGGGGATGGGGCAGAGGGGCTCCCTGGGACTGCCCCGTGCTAGGAAGCAGCCTGAAGGGGGCACATGCCCTGCAGACTGAAGCTTTGCTGTGGAAGGAAACAGAGGGTGCTCTTGGTGTGCTGGTGTGGAGAAAGTTCCAGAACAAATCATTAGGTGAACGAAGCATGGCACAGGGTCATGCCTAATCTCATCCTACTTTGGGGGTAAGAAGGGGCAAGCTGTATATCCCTCTGTATCATTTCTGCATAGAGGAACAAGGGAAGGAGACACCTTGCACTATTCCAGTGGGCCCTCAGAGGCAGGAGCAAGAGTCCTTCTCAGAGTCTGGACCCTAACCTCCGTCTTACCGGACAAGCAACGAGCAGGGAGGAGCAGTCTGAGGAGACAGGGACTGCCCAGGGGAAGTGCATGTCCCACCCCTGGGGCTGGGCCCCCATGTGGACTGTGAGGGTTGCCTGCTCAGGGAGGAGTCAGTCCTCTCGGCCCCTGGAGCCCTCCCAGACCTGCTCCCTCCTGGGTCGCCCTGGGATCTGAGCCCCGGGCAGTGCTTCTCTGTCTTCCAAGATGGCAGATGCTCCCCTGCCCCCACCTGAAACCCTCCGTCACACTGGCCCAGCCAGGACAGTCTGGTTTCCCCAATCCCTGGAGACTGTTTTAACCTCAAGGATTCTAGCTGTTCCAAGAGGGACGAGGCCTTTTATCCTTTAACCCAATGAGAAGCCGAGTGACGTAACAGGTCCCGAATCCATCAGTTTATTACAATGTACACTAAATCAGAATAAGTAAAAATGAGCAAAAAGAACATAGGAAAAGATGGGCAAAACAGATACAAGACAGAAACTCAAGCGCAGAGTGCCAGTAGTGAACCAAACACCAGGCGTCCACGAGGACCTCTTCCAAATGGTCCAGGAAAACACTCCCCTTCAAGGTGCGGCTGGGTGGGTCTGGATGCTGCTGGCTGTCGGCAAGGAAGACAAAGGCCTTGAACTTCAGCAGAGCCTCCAGCGGTGGATGCCTCTTCCGAGGGAATGCTGGGACATCTCAGGAGCCGGACATCTCAGCTTCTAGATGTCAGCCTTGCACGGGAGGCTCAGACCCAAGTTAGCATTTGCGTGTTGTCGCAAGCTGTCAGCGGGCACTCACAGGTCTCCCTGATAGGAACCAGCAGTTCCCATGTGGCTCTGGGCCCCCCGGGGTGGAGCAGTGGGCCTCCTGGCTCTCAGCCAACACCGGGCTCAGTCACGGCTTGTGTTGCAAGGAAGAGCTCAGCATGGAGGGAGGCCGTCAGTGCACAGTCGTATCAATCACGATCAGAACCCCAACCCAGGTTCACAGGCTCATAATGCAGCAACACACACCCCGCCGTGATCTACCCCTTGAACCGCAATTTCCAAATCACCCTGCCCTTTCTCCTCAACCAAGCTAAAGAGCAAACATCAACGGAGTTCACGTTCAAAAGGAAAAGTGGATCCACCCCCGTTGATTGAGGAGGATGGCTGACATCAGAGCATCCTTAACAGAAAAGTCACAAAAGACCAAACACACAAACCGTTTTTAGTGATAAGGTAGCTTTCCCTAGGTCTTTATGCCATGGTTTGTGGTTACTATCTGCAACAGCTTCGACCGATCTTTAAGCAACTCACTAAGAATTTCAATGGCTCCTGGGGCAGCTGGAGTATAAGGTGATATGTGCTGTGATCCGGCCCCTTGTGGGACTTCTTTAACCACAAAGTGTGCGCTCTGATCAGATTCAGCAGGGTAGGGGTGTCAGCAGAAGCCGGGCAGGACTTCACAGAACTGACAGCGTTAGATCCCTAAGCCTGCTCGCTTGGAAATGGGAAGCCCAGACCTGAACGGCAGCGGGTACAGAGCAGCAACACTCAGTCACTATCACACATGCGAGGGCCTACAGAATCCACCTGGAAGATCCGATTCAGGCCCCGAGAGCCATCTTTCTCGGTTAACTCTTTCTGTTTCTCTGGGACTTTAACCTTCAGGCAGGTTTCACAAGGACTGTTTGTCCACTTAGTTTCCTGCACAGTGATCGGTCTGTCCCTCTGTGGAAGCCAATCAAACACATGCAGTGTATCCCTGTCCTGAGTAGGTCACAGATAAAAGGTCCCTTCTGAGAGCTACTTACAGAACAGCATTGCTTCTTGTGTCTGTCACTGTCCTGTGAAGGGCAGCTGCTGCACCATCAAAAGCGAGCACACCATTATTTCCCTGGTGAGCTGGGACATGGGCAGTGCAAACGCCTCTGTGCGTGGAGGCATCAAACACCATTCCCATAAGCGTCTGAACCCTAACTCCTTTCCATTGATCTTCCAACTATTTTGTGGCCATTTATTGCACGACAAGGCTATGCTGTGGCAAGTGACCAAAGTCAGTAAAAACACGACTTGGATGTTGGCTTTCTTGCAAAGAGCGCCTCACAGCCCACAGAGGAGACTATGAATCGACGAGTTAGGCACTCTGGGACGCGTCTCTTTGCACCAAGGTGCAACTGTTCAGAGCACGCAGAGCAGCTGCTGTCCGAGAGAGAGCAGGCCAGAAGTCACGGGGGCCAATCCGTCTGTAAACCAGGCATGCGTTAGTTCACGTGACCAGGCGGGACCCCATTGGCCAACAGCATGACCACGGATGTGTCCGACCCTCGGAATTTCCGGCAAGCCAACGAGAATTCTCGGGGTACTTCCCCAAGGCCCTTGTCCTGGCTGACCCCTTGCCTCGGTCTCTGCTGAGTCTGCCCTTTCCAGGTGAGATTTCGCTGTGTGGCTTTTGTGCCCTTTTGTTTGTCCAGGGACGGGTTAACCCCTGTGGGGCAGCTGTTCTCGTCCTTAGTGCCATGGGAGAGTTAGACAAATTAGCCAAAGGCTCGGTAGGCATCAAGGCCTGATAAGCAGTTCAATTCAGTTTTCAGCATATTGAGAACATGATGTGAGGAAGGAGAGCTCTTAGTCCAGACGCTCATGGGAATGAATTTAGTGTAAAAGAGTCCTCACCCCCAAAAAGACCACAAGCCACATCCCTGCCCATAAACAACACCTGGTCTAGAGTTCATATCTTCCTTTAAAAATACAACCTCTGGACTGCCAGTATGTTTGCTTTCAAACACTGGGGAGCTGCTGCTGTTTTACCTTCCATTTGAAATCCTGAGACCTTCCTGTCACACAGGGATGGGAGAGTTCTCCCCTAAATGCGGTCTGCGCTGCCCTCCAACCCCAGAGAAGGAACACTGTGAGACTTCAGGGCTGGTCGTTAGCACTCAGTGGCTGAGTTCTACATTGTTCTGGAACAGCACCAGGGGTCACTCTCCCTCCACCTGTCCACAGGACTCCTAGAATTTTACCAGGTCAGTGGGACCATGAACCACGCCATTATTTATTGTCCAGCCATATTACCTCAAATATTGACAACATTCCCTCTTTGCCTTGGGTAGGTCATCAGAATTGTTTCCTACGACTACACTATCATCTATGTCGGAGTAGATTTTACAATCTGGAGATTTAGGTTCAAATTGTCTAAAACACACAGCTTTTACAACGGACTTAAGATACTTGTCTGGCAACACAGTAAACAGCATGAACCCACCCCCATAAAGCTGTTTTGAAAAATTAATTAATCTAATGGTAAAGAACATGCTTAATGAATTGACAGTGACATACAATACCCCTTTCCCCACAGAGGTTTCAACAACTGGTAGAGTTCCCTGTACAGCTGTGGAATGTTCCTTTCACAACCAGTGATCAACAGTGATTCTGTAAGATCCACCTGGTTTCCTAACAGGCCACACTGAACTATCAGATGGGGATGCAGTAGCTTCAATTCTTCCTTCCTATTCTAATCCCTGTGTTGCTTCTGTGACTCCGTTACCTTCTTCCTGTAGTGAGTATTGTGAGATAGAATTTCTGTTCTTAGGTTAAGTGAAGAGGCATTGGGTTTTCACCAGGGCCAACGTTACTTAAGGCCCAGCTCCATCTAGTTTTACGGACTTTGAGGCATCTGCATAGGATGTGCTCCTAGGACAGCTCCTCAGTGTCCACGCATTAGTGCTTGTGCAGAGGAGTTGGAGAGAGAGGGCGCTTTCATCTGCTGTTTCACTCCCCAAATACTCAAAGCAGCTAGGGCTGCACCAGGAGCCCAGAACTTCAATCAGGATTCCCACATGAGTGACAGGGACCCCGGTACTTGGGCCATCACCTTCTGCCTCCCAGAATGCAGTATCAGGAAGCGGAAGCGGAAGCACAGAGTAGCCAGGACTTAAACCAGGCAGGCACTGCTATATAAGACACAGCCGTCCCTGGTGGTGGCTCAGCCCACGGTGCCACACGCCTGCCCTGCCTTTTCTCATTTTAAATTTTTTTGTGTTTTTCTCATTTTTTTCCTATTTTTGTTTTTTTCTCATTTTCTTCTTTCTCCATTTTTTCCTTTGCATTATTTTCTCATTTTTAATTTTTTTAAAATTTAGATAGCATCATTAATCTCCTCCATTACTGCTGTGTGTATAGTTCATATGGTATTGAAGTTAGTTATTAGCATTAACTAGCTAATATAGTTGGTGTTTACTTGTCTCACTAGTTAGTATAGTTAGTACAGCTAGCATGCAACTAGTTAGCATTACTAGTTAATATGTGAAGATACGGTAGCGAGGAAGTCACCCAACAGAGGGACCTGTGGTCGTTTACTCCTATGAGGAAGTCCTCGCTGGTCATCCCAGGCTCCCGAGGACCACTGGCCTGGGCAGCTCTGGCCAAGTGAAGCTAGCCTGCCATCTGTTAACCAGGCCCAGGTGGCTGTGAACGTCACCCAGAAACAGGACAGGGACCCTGCAGCCCTCAGCGCTTTCCTGGAAGAGGACTGAGTGCAGTACGTCAATCACCCCGACATGACACGGCTCTCCAAGGCAATCGGGAGGGCGGACAGACTGTGGTCACGGGACTCGGCAGCAGACAGCAGCCAGTCCTCTGGGTGGCCAAGCAAGTGCCTGGCAGCGCAGGCCTCAGTTGGTCCCAGAGGACTGTGCTAGCCACACACTGTTGCTGTGCACAGGGGTAATGCACGCAGGGAAGTGACACCGGGCAGTGTCCTCCTGGATGCCGCCCTCAGTGTTAAACTGACTTCAGCCTGGGATGCAGGGGCTCCGACGGGCAAGATCTCAGCACATCTTGTGGAACTCCCAGTATTGCGCTCCAGAAATGCTCTAGGGCCAACAATACAACCCCTTTAATGCAGACTTGTGGGGTATGGGGGTGACTCTGGCTGCCGTGTTTACGGGGATCTTGCCACTTGATGGAGAGGCCCTGTGCAGCAGCTGGAGTGCACACTCACAGGAAAATACCAGCTTCCCTGTGCTGTCAGCCTAGGGCTGGAAAAGCTTTGGAAGACTTTACTGACATTCAACCCCGGAAAGAGGCCTGAACTAGACCGCACTGTGGGCCGCTGATAGCTCAGCGTGGTCCTGGAAGAAACTCCAAGACCCCGTGCTGAGCCGCTGGCTTGTCACCAGGACCCTCAAATCATGCAAGTCCGAATCAGCCTAGGCTATAAGCCCAGAGCAGATACAAGAGTCCTTGTCAGAGCATAAATACGACAGTGCCACGGCCACACACCTTGTGCTGTGTCGCGAGATATCCCGACAGAAGGGCCCCAGCACCAGGGCAAAGCCCAGGCTTCAGGCAAGTCCCATCCCTGGCGGCCCCAAAGCTCCACGGAGCTCCTCCTTGCCCCTGAGTTGCAAAGTGCAAGTGGCGCTACGTCTTCCCACCTGCCCGTTTCCCTCCCAGGCCCTGCTGCCTGGGGAGGAGCAGGAGTCAGGGCAGAGCACAGGCAGAGGTGCCCCGTGCCTGACAGCCACCTGCTCAGCCTGCAGACATGGACCCCTACTCCGCGGTCAGCCCAGCCAGGCCCTGTAGCCGCCCCCTCAGTCCTCCGCACCAGGAGCAGTGCTCACGACACAGAGGAAAGCAAAGGCTCCCGTAGAGCACATGCGCACAATTACACCCAGGCCGGGCAGCCAGATGGCTAGGACTTCGGCCGCTCCTTCTAGCAAGGGCCAGGGCCGACAAGGGGTCTCTAGGATACAGCAAGGGCCGGGGTGGCAGGGGGGGTCCCTAATGGGATACAGCAAGAACCATGGCCAGGAAAGGGCCCCTATGGGATACAGAAAAACTATGGCCAGAGGGGGTCCCTATGGGATACAACAAGAACCATGGTCAGAGGGGGTCCCTATGGGATATAGCAAGAACCATGGTCAGAGAGTCAATGTGGAATACAGAAGAACCATGACCAGGAGAGGGCCCCTATGGGATACATAAGAGCCATGGCCCGGGGGGGGGGGGTCCCTATGGGATACAGAGGAACCATGGCCAGAAGAGGGCCCCTATGGGAAACAGCAAGAACCATGGCTTTTCACATTTGCAAACGCTCTCAAAAACAAAAATCTTAACTGTATACTGCCACCCACCTCGAGCTTATTTTCTTTGCACATTTGCAAATATTCCTCATGAATAAAAATCATAGCTGCGTGCATGTATGGGGTCCAGGGAGATGTCTGGGTACGTGTACGCACTGTGGAATGGGTCGTACATAGGTGCATCCGTCAACACAGAGGGACAAGTGCTCCCTGATCTCATGTCTATGGGGGATCTAACAGCATCGACCTCGTAGAAAAAGAGAAGAAAGGTGGTTCTCAGAGAGAGGGTGGACGAGGGGCGTGTCAAGTCTACGATGTATCCGGTGCTCATCGGGAAGAGGCTCTGAGATCCACCCACCCCCCTCACCCCCACCCCCCCGCCCAGGAGGCAGACTCTAGTGTCTAATAAGGCAAAGTTCAAGGCAGCTAAGACAGTCCATACCCACTGCCCCGCACATTCCCAGTGGAGAACAAGAGACCCCAAGTGCCACGGTATGGGGGCTCAGCTGGCTGTGGACGCCAACAGCTGCAGGTGGGAGCCAGGTACCAAGTCCACGCGCTGTGTGCCCCAGAAGCCAGAGGCCTTTATGCAGCAGACCACAGAGTGGGTGTAACAGCCGGGTCTCATCTACAAGGCGTTCAGGTGAACAGGCACCAGCTCCACCCTGGCCTTTGAGGGCACTGGGCAAGCTGAGAGGAGGACAGGGCCTCTCTGCCTCCAGCTGGAGAAGCCGCCAGCAGGGGACAGTGTTTCCTGGGCTGCCCACGCCTCCCCCACTCCTCTCTATCTCCTCTTCTGGGTCTCTGGGGGAGGGGAGATGGCTCTTAGTGAATGGCCCTTTCTTCCGAATCTTACAGTCAAATGGATCCACAAAGACGGATCACGGAGGTTTTTCATCCTCCGGGCAGAGAGCAGGGGCTGTCTCACTCCAGTCTGAGCAGGTCTCAATGAGTACTTGGAATTCATTCAAAAAAATAAATGGAAAAGTGGCTTCAGAGAATTATCACGGGAACCGCCAATAGCAACAGAGGAGTCACAGTGGTCCCCAAGGGATACGGCTCAGAGCCATACGCAGGGCAGAGATGCGGGCTCTGTGTGCCACCTCCCAACACTCTCGTGACCTGGGTACTGTCTTCAGAAGGGCCCGTGGGACATTTGCTCCTGCTAACATGTGCTCATCCTGCCCTGAGGCCCACAGCACGAAGGACAAGGTGGTCCTGTGGACTAGCTCGTGTGTCGGGAGTCTGAGAGGTGGCAAGGCCACGGCCCCTAGGGGGCGCTCGGCTGTGCTGTGCTGCTGAGTTCCCTGGGTGACAGTCAGGGAGGTAACACAGCATAGGGACGAGAATCCACCTTCAGCCAGGGATGGCTGGGAGAGGCCTTAAAGAGATTCGACAGATACACTCACACAGCCCCTAGCACATGTCCTACTGCCTACCTCAGCCAGCCAGGGACATCCGGAGGGAACTCCAGAGATGGGCTGTGGGGTCCCAAACCCCCAGGAACAGCTGCTAGATGCAGCATGCGGGTGACCAGGACTAGAGGCAAAGCTGCAGTGCAGAGGGCTCCAATGTCCATACGGCAGCAGCCACTGGAACCGGGCAGAGAAGCCCAAGGGAGAATGTTCTGGGTGTGGGAGGCCGGGACACTGGTGCAAGGACTGTCCCCACCCGAGAAGCCCACCTGGCCCCTGGCCCCACTGGAAACAAGAGGGCGCTGGAAACCTGCTCACACGCAGTTCCTGGGGGACAGGAGGAGTCCCGGTTGCCTCGTGTCCTAATGCAAGGACTGATGGGGCCTGGGAACTCAGGCAGCTCCCGCAGCCCTCGGGACCACCCCGCTCCCGGAAGTGGCAGGTAAGAAAATCGATTTTCTAATTGACGCGGGTGCCAGTTCCTCTGCTGGGGCCCCTGTCCTCAGAGTCGTGTCATCACGGGGCCTGATGGCAAGCCCCTCTCCCAGCAGGTCACCTGGCCTCTGCCTTGCCAGATGGAAGATGCCGTCGTCTCCCACCAGCCTCTGCGGGTGCTGGCAGGTCTGCGACCCTCTAGGGGCGCTTTCTCAGGGCAGCCATCCTTACACTGAAATCTGTTATTAGCATACTAATGGGTACCGACACAGCACCCAGCAGGAAGGATTAACAGTAGATAGACATGGCCTCACCTACAGTCACCTCAAGGAGGACTCAGTTGAAAACACCATTCAGATCTTAACGCTTTTAGGGGAATGGCGATATCGTTTCCCCAACCAAAACCGGGATCTCCCCATGGGAAGCCACACCGTGTATTGGGCTACCACCTACAAAGGGACAGCCGAGATTCAGGCTGATAACCAAACCCCTGCGTGAGGTCTTAAAGGCTGCTGAAACTGACCCACTGGAATAGACAGGGAACTAACACGGGGCCTTTCAACAGGCTTAGGGTCAGCTGACAATGGCCCCTGCACTGGGGATGCCTAACTGAGACAAGTCACTCACTGCAGGGGACACCAAGACGGCGACCATTCCACCCGAGGAGATGGACTGGGAGAGCAGAGGGCTGCGGCTGGGGAGGTTCCGCACGAGTGGCTCCAACACGCCGGCCTCTACAGGGTCGGCAGCACCTGCTACGGAGCCCTCTCCAGCCACGCCCCGCACGCACACCTCCAGAGCAGAGACAGCCCCGCCCCTGCTGCCGCCCGCAGCTCTCTCCTCCGAGCCGGCCGGCGCTGCTCCAACCTGGCGTGTAAACAAATCTCCCTCCTCCGCTGACCTTTACCCGTGTCCCATCCCTGCAATCCGTCTTGCATTCGAGACAAGAGCCCGGACCCAAGCACCCCACGATGAAGAGACTGATAGCGAGGACTCCAGGGCCGGGGCGGGGGGCGGGCTGCCCACCTGCTTCGTTGATGCTCCCATCCTGCGCAGCCTGCAGGTCGCGTGCAGGGGGCGGGAGCTCTAGCACGTGTCGTAAACGTTCATCTTGTCGGGGCGCTGGAACACAGGTGCACAGGTCCTCTCCCCCCGCCCCCATCTCTCACCGGTGGGAGCCTCCACACTGCCTTGCCCCTCAGAGCCGGTGTCAGGCTTTGTGTCTTCATAGAGAATTCACGGAAGCCAACAGATCAAGAGAAGACTGCTGAGAAAAGAGAGCTGGGGACTCACGGTTCCCGAGAAGAGGGGCCCACACCCCGCGCAGGGCCACTCAGGGCGGGGCGGCGGGCAGAGGGACAGGGGCCTGGGGTCAGGAGCTTCGTGGTGCTTCTCCAGGAAGGACCAGTGAGGCGGAGCGAGCAGGTACAGGAGGGGCCGCGTCCTATAACGTCAGGGCCCTGGGCAGGGCGCCCCCTGCTGTCCGGTCCTGCCCTGCGGAGATCAGGATCCACCCCCACAGACCCTGATCCAGGAGGCCGTTGGGGCTCTGTGGATTGCATTTGATTCCCCCTGCTGGTGGGGATATGATGGTGACAAGGGAGCAGGAGGCCACAAGGTGGCTCAGACCTGCGGTGGGTCTGTCCGAGACAAGGCGCGCCCTCCATGTGCATGGGGGCAGATGCTAAAGCTTCCTGGGCAGCAGCAAGCAACGTGGCCAAACCAAGGGCTCAGCTCAAATGCCACCTCCTCAGGGACGCCCTCCCTGCCTGTGCCACTACAGGGACAGCTTCCCGCACCCCCATCTCTCCCTCCTGCTTACCCACTCCATCCCCTGCCCCTGCCCCTGCTCTGCTCAGCGGCACCTGCCATGGCTCCGACCTCACCCAGAGTAAAAGTCCTCAGGGTGGCCACAGGGCCCGTGTCCTGGTGTGTCTCCGCTCACGGTGGCCACAGGGCCCGTGTTTCCTGGCGTGTCTCCTCTCCCACCCTTGCCCCTCTCTGCCCCCAGCATCCCCAGCCCTGCACTCCCATCCCCTGAGCCCGACTCTGTCTCTGCAGCCCTGAGCTCTTCTGTCGCGCTGTCCCGTCCACTGTGCGTCCCCTGGAGCGTCAGCTCCACAGAACAACAGGGTTGCTCTCCTGGTTCTCAGGCCTCACCCTGCGCTGTGCCGGCAGCCCAGGGCAGGGCGCGGCACACAGCAGGGGCTCTGTCCACAGTGCGTGAACAGCTCTTACCTCCACCCGAGATGTGGTCTTTGTGGTCTGCCGCCCTTGCTCACGGAGGCCCTGCTGCTGCCAACCGGATCCAAACACCAGGGCCCAGCAGCGAGTGGAGCAGGCCTGGGTCTCCATCCTCCTGGGCCCATGGCCTAGTGGGAGAGACAGAGCAAACCTATCAGTGGTGCTGTGGACCATGGAAGGTAAAGTGACAAAGGACCTTCAGACCCGCTGAAGTCACTGGGAGAGCAGCAGTGCCATGGGCAGAGCACTTCAGGCTGGGAAAACAGCAAGTACCAAGGCCCAGAGGCGCAGGTGGGCTGTAGGACGGAGATGCTGAGTTTTTGGTGTGGATTCGTAGGGTTACCTTGGGTGTCTATTTTATTTGTCATCCTTTCCATTTCATCTAACCTAGCTCATTAACCTGAGCCTGGGCTCCCAGCCTTTTGAATTAGTTAAATCTCTTCCAGTGATTTACAGTGGAAGCAGAAGTGCACGGGGGCTAACTCGGCAGGTGTTCACTGAGTGGCCACCCTGGGCCCCGGGCTGTGTCAGGCCTGGCTTTCTCCCTTATTTTATCCTCAGTTTTGTCCACTAAAGTGGGGACATGGGACCCTCCGTTAGCCTGGTTAACCCCATTGCACTCATGTGGTCAACACAAGTGGCCCAGCCAATATCAGACCCTCAGCAGATTCTGTCTGAATCTCCTGGGTCTCAGGTTAGTAGCCTGTGGGTATTTGTTTTGGAGTCTTGCTGTGTGACAGACATTTGGTCCTGATAGCTAGGCTAAATCCCTCTCAGTTCCAGGAACCATCATTTGGCCACCTGTTAGGAACACTCAGAACCCTCTGGATGCCCAGTGACAGAAAATCCAATTCAAAGTGAAGAACCAAAGTGACTCCATTTTAAAACAATAAAAAAAGCAGCCTCTGTTTCCCATAGCAGACCCGAGTCCTTGTAAAAGCAGGCATTCAGGCATTCCGGAGATATCAAAGCTTACCAGGGACAGCTAGCTCGGTAGACCAAGGACAGCACAGTAGAGATTGCTAAACAAAGTAACTCCCTGTGCCCACAGCTCCCGCTGTAACTCCCTGTGCCCAAAGCTTCCATGCTGTATGTAACTCTTTTTTCCTGCTGATGTAGCCCTTTTTTCCTTTAAAAACTCTCCCAAACAAAGACCAGGGCCTCACTCCTTCCTCCGCTGTGCTGGTTGGTTGGATGGGGTCCCTGTCGCGGCTTGTACTCCAGAATAAACCTTGCTTTTGCAGTTTGGTGTGATCGACTCTCTGGGGGTCTCTGCAGGGATCTAACGAGCTGGGCACAACATATTTTTTGGTGCCCAACAGAAGTGACTTCCAGCGCCGGCACTGTGGCGTAGCAAGTATAGCCCACCTGCAATGCCAGCATCCCATAAGGGCACCCGTTCCAGTCCTGGCTGCTCCACTTCTGATCCAGCCCTCTGCTATGGCCTGGGAAAATAGTAGAATATGATCCAAGTACTTGAGCCTCTGAAATTGTGCAGGAGACCCAAAAGAAGCTCCTGGCTCCTGGCTTTAGACTGGCCCAGCTCCAGCTGTTGCAGCCATTTGGGGAGTGAGCCCACAGATGGAAAACCTCCCTCCCTCTCTCTCTCTCTCTCTCTCTGCCTCTGTGAAACTCTGCCTTTCAAATAAATAAATCTTTTTTTTTAAAAAAGTGCCTTCTAACATGAACAAAGCAGGGACAATTATTGTTGTAACCAAGAGGTCTAAGGGCAGGTGGCATCAGGCAGGGCAGTACCTGGGTGCTGGATGATGTCCCCAGGAGTTGCCTCCCCTGACCTCCTGGCTGTGCCTACTCCCTCTCAAGTGGGCTTTCCCTTCAAGATGGCGCCGTGGGCACCAACTGTCTCAGCAGCCCAACAGTCACGGAGCTTCTCCTCCCCCAAGGTTCCACCCCTAAGACCAACCCCTGGGACCTGATTGGTCACTTGCTTAGGCCTTAGCCAAATACTGGACCACAGTGATTGGCCAGCTCAAGGTCATGTGACCACTGTCTCCAGGGTAACCTGGGAGCTGCTCACTCTGTTTCTGGGTAGCAGATCTTGTGAGGCTTTAGAGAGCAGGGCTAGGGGTTGAGTCTCTGGTCCTCTAGGCCTCATTTCCTAGGAGGTGCCTGCTCACGCCATCCCCACACAGCCTCCTGTCTTCTGTTTATAGAGGAATTCATGGTGGCAACTCTTCCCCTCCCCAACTGTTGGGATTTGGGATTTGCTCCCAGCTCCAAGCCTACTCCTGTGTCCTGTTGTCATCAGTTATCCAGTCCACATTTACTGAGTACCTAGTGTGGGAAAGGAGCGTGCCTGAGACCATCTGCTCACCAAAGGCTGGGCTCAGGAACACGAGGGAAGCAGAGGTGAGGTGTTTACTGCTACCCAGTCTTGAGAGCCGTGATCAGGAGGTGGCAGCAGGCGCCACCCTCAGAAATTCAGCTCCTTCTGTCGCTGCCACGCAGAGGTCCCTTCACCCAGTTCCTCACTGGATGAGAAACTTGGGACGTACAATCCCAACCTGACACTGTGCCTAAAGCAGGGTGATGAGTGTTACTGGGCAGATTTAGGACAGGGGAGGTGGGGAGAGAAGTGACACTGTAGTATCAGCAAGGCCAACACAACTCCAGGAACTGGGACATGAGAGCACTTTGTAATGAGCATCCAGTGGTTACAGAACTGCTGAATGTTACAAAGATTACAAGCAGTGCACAGTTCGCAGAGCAAACTCAGCAGCTGGCCTACTTTGTTTTGGCGTCTCTATCCTACATGTTACTGAGGCCTATCATGGCTACACTAAGGCTAAGCTAAGTCTTTTATGAAAATACCCATGTTGGGGCTGGTGCTCTGGTGCAGTGGGTAAAACCACTCCTGGAGTGCCAGCATCCCATATAGACGCTGGTTCAAATCCTGGCTGCCTCACTTCCGATCCAGCTCTCTGCTATGGCCTGGGAAAAATGTAGATGGCACAAGTTCTTAGGCCCCTGCACCCGCGTGGGAGACCTGGAATAAGCTACTGGCTCCTGGCTTCAGATGAGCACAGCTTCAGCTGTTGCAGCCGATTGGGGAGTGAACCAGTGGATGGAAGACCTCTCTCTCTCTCCTCTGTGAAATTCTTTCAAACAAATAAATAAATCTTAAAAAAAGAAATGTTATTTGCTGCAGGAATATTAAAAAAAAGAAAATACCCATGACATTTCTCACACCTACTATGTGCCAGGCCCTCACTAGATGATGGATGCAGAGGTGGACAGGATCGATGGCATTGCTGTTCTCAAGCACTAAACACTAAGGTGGGAGAGGCCAGGAAAATCAGGGAGATACATGCAGATCAAGTAAGCCTGGATGAAGAAAGGAAAACTACAAGATGAGACTGACCACGTCTCTGGAGACTTGTAGGTTTGTGGGAAGAGACGGCCCATGGTAGGAAGTGATAGTGGGCAGAAGCATGGAAGAAGCTGGGGACAGGCCGTGTGCTGGTCAGGGGGACACTGTTCCAGGCAGAGAACAGCCTGTGCAAAGTTCCAGAAGTCAGAGCAAGCATGAAGGCCTCAGATAAGGGACGAGCAAACTTTCTGGAAGGAGCCCGAAGGTTAATCTTTTGGGTGTTTCGGACCTCGTGGTCTTTGTCACAACTGCTCAGCTCTGATATTCTCATTGAGAAATGGCTGTCGACAATTAAATGGATAGGCTTCAGTACAGTTCCAATCAAATTTAATTCATGGACACTAGACCTGAGTTTCAGGTGATGCTCCCACATGATGCAATCTTTTTTATTTGTTTATTTTTTGATAGGCAGAGTGGACAGTGGGAGAGAGAGACAGAGAGAAAGGTCTTCCTTTACCATTAGCTCACCCTCCAATGGCCGTCGCAGCTGGTGCACCGCGCTGATCCGAAACCAGGAGCCAGGTGCCTCTCCTGGTCTCCCATGCGGGTGCAGGGCCCAAGCACTTGGGCCATCCTCCACTGCACTCCTGGGCCACAGCAGAGAGCTGGCCTGGAAGAGGGGCAACCTGGACAGAATCCGGCACCCCAACCGGGACTAGAACACGGTGTGCCAGTGCTGCAGGCAGAGGATTAGCCTAGTGAGCCGTGGCACAGGCCATGATGCAATCTTACATGTCCTAGATTTTTTCCCCTTCCATTTAAGGGGTTAAAATTCCTCTTCACTTGCCACCTCTGCAAAAACACAGGGCGGGCCCACGCTGGTCACCAGTTGTAGCTTGCTGAGCCCTATTCCTGGAGGATTGGGGAAGAGACTGGTTGAGGAGCAGGACAGTGGGGAGGAAACAGATGAAGTCATATTTAGAAACAGAGGCATGCCCACCCGGCCTTGGAGCCACGCTTCAGCTGTGTGGGTCCTGGCATCCCTGGGTAAATGCCTGTCTGGATTGCCAGAGCTGACGGTTCTTCTGGGTGGTGGGCACCCAGGGAGCGTTCCAGAGGCAGCAAGCTGTGCGTGAGCAAGCACCTGGAAGCTGCTGGGCTGCTGCTCTGGCACATCCTGCGCAGCCTGGCTTGAATCCCGACCCTCCTCAGGCCTTCTGCTTTCTCATTAGCAAAGGCAAGCTGGGGGCATGAGCTCCTGGAACCGTCTCAGCTCTGATGCACAGTGGTTCTCTTTGAACGTCTCCCTCCAATGGCAAGTCAGCCCTCCAGCACCATGGACAGCAACCACAATGCTCCTACTTTGGGGCTGATCTGCACTGAGTCCATGTGTAGACAATTGTGGGTAGAATCCTTCTCCCCATGATGGTTGCTACGGGATGCCCAGGCTGGAGAAGGTTCTGGGCTCTCTGTGTCTGTGAGGACCCCAGGCTCTGAGTTCCCATGGGGTTTCTGAATCCTGCTGCCACTGCTGCGGCTACAGAAGCTCCCTGTCTTTAGGGGCTTGTGAATCCCAGGCATCTCACTGCAGACTGCCAGGTTCGGGCCTCTGAAAGGGAAGTAGAGGGAGGCCATGGGGTTGGGGGAGGAGAGGGTGATGCGAGGGGGCCGTGGAGCCCATCCTTTATCCACCTTCCTCTCCTTGCCCTCCTCCTCTTCCTCTCGGCCCACCCCGTTTTCTCTCTCACAGCTGAGGTTGGCGGTGGCTCCAGGGAAGAATCGAGCCCCTTGACACACTGGAGAGGGAAGCAGGGATCAGTCTTGGCATGTCCAGGGGATGCCTCTCTTACTTCTGAGTGAGCCAGCTTCTCTTCAGTCTCTGACGATGCGGGGACATGATCAAGCCCTCAGGCTCCCGTCACTCACTGTCCAGGTCACTCAGCTGCTGGTTACCACATTAGGCCGTGCGTTTCCTCCTTTGGAGTGTGCCTGCCCTTCTTGGTTTCCTTCCTTCGTTTCAGAGGAAGCAGGATCTGTTAGAACACAGGGAACCCAGGAACACAAAAGGAAGAGAGCAGATGGGCATCGTGGGAACTAGGCCTGGCAACAGCCGCACAACAGGAACCAGGACTGCTCTGTTTCTCTTGCCATCCCAGGACCTCCTCGGCAGCCCCTTGTCAGCTTCCACTGCCCATCACTGCATCCTCCCAGCCACCTGTCTCCCTGGCCACTCCCTGGCCCTAAAGTGGTGAGCTTTGTTACCTGGGCAACTGGAATGGCCTCCAAATTGTCCTCTCCAAATCCTCTCCTGTCCGTTTCTAATCTACCTTCCCCCTCACTGCAACCTGAGCAATCTGCAAAAGCTGGCGAGTGTATTCAGTGGTTTTCCAGTGCTCCCTGGAGACAGATGCACATGTGGTGAGCGGCATGAAGCTGGGTTGCTGCTCACCAAGCAGTGTCCGTGGTCACGGTGCCCTCCCGGCCAGGGGCTCACGCAGTCCTGCTCACTGGTGCTCCTGGGCACTGACCAGCAAGACAAACGTGCACACACAGAGTAAGAACCAGGGCCCACTAGCTTGCTTTTCTTTCCCTTCTGCTGTGAGGAAGGCCATGGTCCAGATAGAGGCTAGCTGGCCAGCCTGAGTCTGAAGTGTAGATACATGGAGCAGAGTCTTGGTGGCTCCTAGAACAAGGCAAAATCCAATGGGGGCTTCTTTGTTGTTCAGGCCTCCCGACCTGTGCTAACCAAGTCACGTGGTGTCTGAGATCTCAGGGGGATGGGGCGGGGCAGGGAGCTGTAGAGCAGGGCGTCTGGGTGCACAAGGTCTCCACTGCCTGAAAGAGTTCAGCACAGAGCAGCCACAGGGAGAGTGAGGAACTGCAGCATTGATTTGGGAGCCTGAGCCCTCTCGCTCCATTGCAGCGCCTTTGCAAGGACAAGTGCGGAGCGGTGCTTGCCTCTGGAGTTGGGACAGTAAGGGCAACCGCTAGGCTCTCCATGCCTCCCCCTCAGGAGGTGTCCCCGGCAGAGTCTGGTCTGGCACCTGGGTTACAGGGTCCAGGTCCATGGTGGGCACTGTGGTGGGGCTTTGCTTCCAGGAGGAAGCAGCAGGAGACACCTCATGTCCACTCTGCCCATGCAAGTCGTCTAAAGCTCTGAGGTCCTTAAGGCTCATGGATGACTTAATGCCTTGCTCCTGGGAACCCACCATGGCTAGCACAGAGCCTCCCACCCCCACCCCACTCCCAGAATCGGCAAACTCTTGGCATAAACGAGCAAAACGGCAGACAGGGGAGTCAGCACAGGCACCAGTTCCCTGGATCTTCTCACGAGGTCTCCCACTGGCAGCGGAAGGCGGCCTGCAGCTTGCACTGTTCAACAGGCAGACCCCACGGCCCAGCAGCCTCCAGCTTTGGAGAGGGAGGGGCGTCTCACACAAGCCCGACCCTCCCAGCCCTCAGCATCACCTGTGTGCATCCACAGCCCGCCTTTTTCTGTCTCTTTCAGAGACCCAAAGGGGAACTTCATGACCCAAAACAATTTAACCACAGACGTCCTTTAAACAACAGCTGAGCCCAGAGAGGCAGGCCCAGCGCAGCTCTGCTGTGGGATACTGATGGTGATGCTGGAGCCATGCAGCCCACGTGGCCCCTGCAGTTCTTGCCGTTAGACCAGAGAGAGAAGTGCTGCCCCCATCTCCCGTGACTTTGCTGGCAGGGGGCAGATGGGATGAGTTGAGCACCAGGGAAAGTCCATTTATTCCATGCGATTTGTCCTGCTGCTGCTAAGGCTAGCCTTAGCTTCATGCCAGTTGTGACCTGACCCTGAGGGGCTCCAGGACTGTGGGGCAGAGACTCACTGAGTTTTGGACCCAACCTTGCACCTGAGGTTTCCACTAGGAAACTGAGCTCTGTGTCATGGGCATCTAGAGGAGTGGTGAAGACTTCCCAGGCAGCTGGGAAGCCAGGCAGCTGGGACAAGTGCATGCAGGAGCCTTCCGAGTGGGGCCAGAAGTGGACATGCCAGGCAGGGGATACGGCAGCAAAGGCGGGAGGCCCAACTCCACACAGCTGGGCATAAGGACATCAGATAAATGAGGCCATCCTGGGCGTGGGACGGGTGCAGATCCAATTGCGCCCAGGGGGCCAACTCCAGGGGTGTCTTGCGGATGGCAGTTTCCATTGCCAGTGGCCATCTTGGCGTGGCCTTCTCATTCCATCCGGGAGAGGCAGAGCCCCTGCCTGGACTCTGCTCCTGAACTGTTTTCAGTGCAGTGAACTCACCAGTAGAGGGCAGTCAGGAGCCCACACACCTGACACCTGTGTGGCCGCAGGGAGCTGGATGCACAGTGGGTGGCAGTAAGGGGCCCTACTGGGGCAAGGAGACTACAGGCTGCAAGGTGAGCGCTTTATAAACTGAAACTCTACGTTCTCAGGATCAGGGTCTCTGGCCAAGGCCAGATCCCAGGCCAGTAGGCCTCTCCTTGGGGGATGCAGCTTTTCGAGTGGCTAGTGCCTGCTGGCTGGCCCTCCACACTTCCAGGCTGGGGGGCTGCATGGCTTCTCTGGATCAAGGTCTTGGTCTATTTTTTTGCTGCTGCAACAGAGGGCCTGATGCTGGATAAAGATAAAGAACTGGAGTCTGCTTGGCTCGCGGTTCTGGAGGCTGAGAAGGTCAGTAACGCGTACTGGTTTCAGACAAGGGTGCTGTGTGGTGTCACCCCATGGCGGAAAGCCAAGAGCAGGTGTGTGAGATGGAGGTGGCAGGAGGGGCCGAACTCGCTGGCTGTGTGTCCTGATCCATGCCCTGGGGGCTGTGCATGCTCCATGTCTTCTTGCCACTGGGGTTTGCCTTTCCACTTTCCTTATGATGGTCTGGGAAATCGAAATCTCCAGGCTGAATGAAGTCAGATCTCTCGCATTTTTAACGCTTGGGAAACTTTCTGCTTCATGTCTAAGAAGTCATCCCCAAGTCCCAGTTTGGAAAGATGGTCTTCCTTATTTTTTTCTAAAGGTTCTACAATTTTGCCTTCTGACCTCAGGGCCTTCGTGTTTCTAGAATTGGGTGTGCTGTGAGTCAAGATCTGATCATTTTCCGTGTGGGGACCCCATTGTCCCAGCATCATTTACAGAATGGACCTTGTTCCTTCAATCACACAAAGAAGTCTCCTTAAAAGTCCTAACCATGAAGCTTTGGGGATGTGTAAGGTATCTTTCAGCCAGCCTTCTGAAGAGCCAAAGTGACTGAACAGTCAAAGTGACTCTATTTTGAAACAATAAAAAGCAGCCTCCATTTCCCATAGCAGACCCGAGTCCTTGTAAAAGCAGGCATTCAGGCATTCCGGAGATATCAAAGCTTACCAGGGACAGCTAGCTCAGCAGACCAAGGGCAGCTCAGTAGAGATTACCAAATGAGGTAACTCCCTGCACCCAAGCCAAATGGAGACCACCCCCCTCCCCGCCCTGCCCAATCACAAAAGGCCTCGCACCCTAAGCCCTTGCTGCCCGAATAAAGACCTGGGCCTTTCCCCCTTCCTCTGCTGCGCCGGCTGGTTGATGAGATCCCTGTTGTGGCTTGTATCTTTTTGTTGTTGTTGTTGTTACAGGCAGAGTGGACAGTGAGAGAGAGACAGAGAGAAAGGTGTTCCTTTACCATTAGTTCACCCTCCAATGGACACCGCAGATGGTGCACCACGCTGATCCGAAGCCAGGAGCCAGGAGCATCTCCTGGTCTCCCATGGGGTGCAGGGCTCAAGCACTTGGGCCATCCTCCACTGCCCTCCTGGGCCAAAGCAGAGAGCTGGCCTGGAAGAGGGGCAACCGGGACAGAATCCGGCACCCCAACTGGGACTAGAACCTGGTGTGCCGGCGCCGCAAGGCGGAGGATTAGCCTATTGAGCCGCAGCACCGGCTGCGGCTTGTACTTTTTTAATAAAAAACTTGCTTTTGCATTTCGGTGTGATCGGGTCACTGACAGCTTCTTGGGGATCTACTTATCTGGGCATAACACCTTCCTTCCTGTGCCATTAACTGGGGACCCAAATCATACCCAAACCTCAGCAACAGCCATAGACTAAAACAATAAACCTCAACCTACAATTCCTTATAAAACATTTCACTCAGAAGGGATCAGAGATTTAAAAATAGAACTCGGAAGGTTATAGAAAAATAAAACAGAAGAAATCCATGAGAACCTAGTGCTCTGCAAAGGGTGCTTAAACTTAACACCAAGAGCATGATCTGGGTGATGATTTGGTGCTGCCCGTTAAGCCACTACTTGCAAGGCTGGCAGCCTCTATCGAAGTACCGGTTTGAGTCCTGTTGCTGTGCTTGAGATCTAGCTCCCTGCTGATACACCTGGGAGAGCAGAAGACGGCCCAAGCGGTTGGGGCCCCACCCTCACAGGGGAGGCCCAGATGGAATTCCTGGCTCCTGCTGTCAGCCTGGCCTAGCCCCAACTGTTGCAGCCATTTGAAGAGTGAACCAGCAGATGGAAGATCTCTCTCTCTCCTGTCTGCATTTAAACTTATAAAAGAATTATTTTGAAAAAGAGGAACATCTATATATTAGGGAAAATGACTTAATGAAAATGGAAAACTTCTACTCTGCAAATACTGTGGGAAGGGGTGAGACTCAGCCTCGTGGCATATCAGAGAAATGCAAGTGAAAACCAAGATGGCACAGCATTTAGGATGGGTAAGGGTGAAATGATGGGCCACGCGAAGCTCTGGCAAGCATGTGGAGAGACGGAAGCCGTCAGAATCTGCTGGTGGCAGTGTGGAACGGTGAACAGTTGGAACACAGCTGGGCAGTTTCTGCCGAGGTTGAACACACACCTATCAAAGGATCTAGACTTCCCACTCCTAGGTATTGACCTGTGTGAGATGAGAACCCACACTTTCACACAAACTGGGACACAGATGTCCCTCTCAGGATTCAGGGCAGCCAGCAAGAGGAAATGACCAAATTCCCATCAACTGAGGAGCATCCGGATAGACCAATGGCAGCAAATCCGCATGCTGGGAAACCCACTGGAATAAGAAGTGACGTTGATACCAGCAACCACTTGGAGGGACCTCAAACAGTCACACTGCGGGAAAAAAGGCAACCTAAAGATGTATGATCCCCCTTGCACATGACTCTAGAAAGGGCAAAGTGGTCTCTGCGGATCCACGATTTCCCGCGGGATTACAGTGAGACACGAGGAAGGTTCTGGGGGAGGTGGGCGTGTTCACTGCTTCCATTCTGAGCAGTTTCCCAGATGCACACATGTGTTACTTACCAAACCGTGCATCTTACACATGACTGGCTTGATGTGTATCTATTTTATCATTTAAAATGTTTACTTATTTACTTCCATTTTAATTTAAAGGGAGAGAGAGAAATTAATTAATTAATTACCGGTTCACCCCCAAAAGCCTACAATAGCTAAGCAAAGCCAGGAGCTCAGATCTCAATTTGGGTCTCTCACGAGGGTGACAGGGACCCAAGTATTTGCACTGCCACCTGCTGCCTACGGGGGTGTCCAGGACTGGAAGCAGCCAGTTCCACGTGGGATGTGGGTATCCAAAGTGGCTTTTTAACGGCTGAGCCAAACACCCAGTTTCAATTTTAGATTGATAAAGCTATTCAGCAACAGTGGAGCAAGCATCAGAAGTCTCATGATCTCCTGAGGACCTCAGTTACAGAGGCAGAGGGTGCAATGAGAGAGGCTGTGGGGGCCTGAGTTTGCCGGGCCCAGCGCCTCCTCCACTTTATTCAAGGAGGGGAGGTGGGGCTGACGACAGTTCTAGAGAGGGGCTGGGAAGCTCCCTCCTGCGTACCATACGTAAGCGTCAGGAGCGTCATAGCTGCGTTAATTTCGGAGTAGGAAATCCTCAAGCATAGAGATGGCAGAACCCCCGCCCCCAGAGCGGTCCCGCCCTGCGGCCCCAGCCCCGCCCCCCGCCTCACCGCCGCAGCCCCGCCCATCCCAGTAACTGTTGAATGGCTGCCACGTGGGCAGGGCACCGTGGGCCTCCCCAGGTCAGTGTCAACTGATAGAGGAGCTCATGGAGGTGGCCGCGGAGCGGGTGTGGGAGCACGCCTCGTGGTCCGAGTATCGCTACCAGCAACCGCGGCCGCTTTCAGGTATCCCACGCGCGTGGGGCACCTGATCGCAGCCCAGGCTCCCAAGCCCTGCGTCCTTTCCAGCCTCCCAGGGCCTCTGACTTGGGTCTCCCTCCTCAGTCCTAGCTGGTTCCACCTCTGTCACCCAAATGTCCAGCCCTGAGCCCAGCATCCGACGCCCATTCCTGCTTTTTCTGGGATCTCACTTGCTTTGCCTCCGCCAGGCCAGGCTTTTGCAGGTGCTGGGCCCTGGCCTGCTTTGCCTTTTCCCAAATGACAACCACCCATGGTGGCCGCACTGGCACAGTTCTCTGCTCTTCCTGAGCGGAGGCACAGGGCATCGTCCCACCCCGCCCCCTCCCGTGCTTCCCGGGACCAGCGCCCACCTGGGCAGGTGTCATGGGCACGCAGAAACGGACTCCGGGTTGCGGGAGAAGCAGCAGCTGGGCCTGGGCTGGAGGAGCTGGCGGCTCCTTCTCCCGACACCGCCAGCCCTGCTCTCGCGGCCCCTGCATCCCGGGGTTCCCTAAATCCACGGCAACCCCTCCATGTGCCAGGCAGAGCAGTGGCCCGGGCCAGGGAAGGGGCAGGAGGAGGGGAGGCGGGGAGGCGAAGGGTGGGCATCCCTTGGAGAGAGGGGCCTACCTCGTGGGAGCAGGGCTGGTGACGGCCGTCATTGTCTCCCAGCCAGGAGGACCAGCAGGTTGGCCGCTCTGCAGCAGGTCCCTGTGCACCTGAGACAGCGAGGACCAGGAAGCGGCAAGCACAGAGCCCTTGTCCTCCATGGCCAGCGTCCGCCGGTGTGACCTGGAGGAGGACCGAAGGCCCCGGCTGGGACCCAGGAGTCAGACTCCACGCACCTGGGCAGCAGCGAGTCCCCAGGGGAGCCTGCCCACGCCTGCAGCTCCGGCTTGCCTGTCTCCTCTAAACACACTGCCTCACTGGCCTTGCACAGGAATCTGGGTAGGTGCTAGGCCCTTCTGCAAAATGGGCGTGCACTCACGGCGTCCCAGCAGTTCAGGGCACATAGGTCTGGTGTGTGCTGCCCCCCGTGGGGTGCTCACTGCCAGCTGGGAGCTGAGGTCAGAAAAGGAACAGCTGTTTTGCAGTTCCCGTGGGTCAGTCTGTCCCATAGGCACTCTTCAAGGCTCCTTACTTGCTAGCCCTGTTTTGGTCTAAAGCCAGTCACATGGTTTAGCTTCAACATGAGGGATGGAGAAAAGTGCTCCACCTCTCGATGGATCTTGATTTTATTTATTTATTTATTTTGTCTTCTTGAAGGACACCACTAGGATGAATGATTGCAGTTTTTCCGGTAGTTCTGTTGTCTTCTTGGGTACTTTGCAGGGCACTGCCTAGATCTATACCGTGCTGCCTTTAGACTTCCTCCATCTTCATAGTGACGTGACCTTCTTGTCATTGTGTGGTGACTTCCTCCATCCATCACTGTGCTACTTACCTTGGGCCTCTTGATGCTGAGCAGAAGAGCCTGGGAAAAGACTGGTGGCACACACCCTCCATGGAACAGGGTGCTCACTTGACCTCCTTTTGCCCTGAGCTCTTGCAGCTTCTTGTAGGCTTGCTTTCCCTATTTGTGTGCGTCCTCCAAAGGCAAAGGCATTTGCATCCAAACTCCAGATCTTTGAGTGACATCCCTTTGGCTGGCTCTGAAGTTCAAGGTTCATTGTTTAGCCTCCAATTCCTGAGTGTTTGTGGATAAGCATGTACTAGTAAATGCTTATTGTTCAATGTGTAGGAGGCCATGGAGTGGGACTGGGCACCTGCATTGGGCTCCACAGACCAAACCCATCCAAGAGTCCTTTCCTGGCCCTGAGCTTCGGCTGGCTGCAGAAGGCCCAGTGGCAGGTGAACGGGTGAAGCTGTGAACCATGAGCCTGCTAGGGGAGAGCACAGGACCCGGTTCCACATGCCCAGGACATCCGCCCTCCCACAGGCCTACAGCCCAGCTCCACCTCTGCTTCACTAACTGGTGGGGACATTGGTGGACTATGGGGGTGTCCTCTGCTGTTCCCCCCGCCCCAGCTCTCGGCCACTTGCAGCCCTGTAAGGAAGGAAGTGGAACATGAGAGGCACTGAGAATAGTTCTAGGAAGTCCCGCCCTGTTCTTCTCTACATCCTCCCGTCCCTGCCACACACTGCCCTGAGCAGGAGGGCGGCACCATGACAGGTCTCATGCTCACCCAGGGGCTGTCTTTCTCGGGCCTCATTTCAGCCTCTGCCTGTGACAGGGGGTGTGGTATCATGAACCCTGTGCACACAGGAAGAAGCCACTCAACAGCTTACACAGTTGGGCTGCAGTCAGGCCAGGCTTTCTTGCTTTTTCTCTTTTCCTTTTAAAAAAAATCATTTGTTTATTTATTTTCATTTTATTTGAGAGTATATGGAGATCTTCCATCCATGGTTTACTTTTCAAATGCCTGCAACAGCTAGGAGTGGGCCAGGACTCAAACTGAGCCCGCTCTGAGGACGGCACAGATCTAAGTACTTGAGCTCTCGCCCGCTGCCTTCCAGGATGTGCATTAGCAGGAAGCTGGGACCAAAAGTGGAGCTGGAACTTGAACCAGGACTCCAACATGCGATGCGCAGAACCGCTCACCACTGAAGCCAGAAGGGAGTGCATAGTCAGGGCCCACCCCCTGCCCTCTGCCAATGTCCCTAAATCCTGCAGGCAGCAGCTCAGGCTCAGGGTGTAGAGGGCAGCTTGCCTTCCTACACAGGAGCCCTACCCTTGTCCCCTCCCTGTGGCCCCAGCCAGCAGTACTGCATTTGCAACCACAGGGGCAATGTGGCAGTCCTAGAATCCATACACTGTTTTCATCCTGGCCTTGGCCACCATCCTGCTCAATACAGACAGGTGCAGCTCCCCACAATCAAGCAGGGGCAGGAGGTGCAGCTGGAGGACTTTGTCAAGCACCTCCAAGGTGCACGGTCCCCAAGGCCCCTTGGCTCAGAGGCGCAGCCATGCGCACACCCACTCTAGCCCCACCCCATCCAGCATTCCCCGTGGCGTAGGGGGCCAAGAGGTCCATGGGGTGGCCAGAGTGTGTCTGGCCCTTCAGGGAGCATGGCCCAGATGCCAGGAAGAGCACTGAGTGCCAGCTGAGAGGTGCACACGGAGGGGCACAACCGGAGTGCTGGGAAACCTGGCTCTGGGGGAGCGGATGCTTCACTGTTCTTGAAGGATGAACCTCGCATCCCTTTAGGTTCATTTTTTTTAAACGACTTATTTATCTGAAAGTTAAGGGAAAAGCGGGAGGGGAGGGGAGAGAAAAAGATGAACAGATTGATCTTTCATCTGCTGGTTCACTCCCCAGATGGCCATAACTGCAGGGACTGGGCCAGGCTGAAGCCAAGAGCCAGGAGCTTCATCTGGCTCTTCCACATGGGTGCAGGGGCCCAAGCACCTGGGCCATCGTCCATTGCTTTTCCCAGGCCATTAGCAGAGAGCTGGATCAGAAGTAGAACAGCCAGGACTTGAACCAGTGCCCAAAGGGGACGCTAGCATTCCAGGAAGTGGCTTTACCCGCTATGCCACAATGTCAGCTGCTTTATGTTGATTTTTTTTAAACCTAAATGTGTGTATTTAAAAGGGAACTTGGTATTTTCACTGTAAATGGAAACCTGGTAGCATCTGCCACGTGTAGGAGATAATGATAGCAGAAGGAAGCGGTGCCTTGTGCTGCACTGGGGCGGCCTCGGCTTGCAGGCACTGTCTGGGTGTCCCCTGCTGTTGGGTTCATGCTTGTCACAGAGGGGTCAAAGATGTTCTGGACGCTTCCTCCTGGTACACTCTGGAGGCAGAAAAGGGTCTAAGGGGCAGCTCTATGTCAGCCAGAGCTGCCCTTCACATGCCCAGAGTCCCTGGAAGGATGAAGAGGGGGGATCATGTCCCTCCTGAGAGACAGAGAGAGAGAGAGAGAGAGAGGGAGAGAGAGGAAGAGAGAGAGAGAGAAAGAGAGAGAGAGAGAACAGAGAGGAGAGAGAGGGGAGAGAGCAGAGAGAGAGAGAGAGAGGAGAGAGGGGAGGGGGAGAATGAGGGGAAAGAGAAAGAGAGAAAGAGAGAAAGAGAGAAAGAGAGAAAGAGAGAGAGAGAGAGAGAGAGAGAGAGAGAGAGATCTTCCATTTGCTGGTTCACTCTTCAAATGCCTGCAGCAGCCGGGGCTGAGGTAGGCTGAAGTCAGGAGTCAGAAACTCAATCCAGGTCTCCTGGGGTGGCAAGGACCCAACTACTTGAGCCTCCCCCGCTACCTGGCAGGATCTGCTTTAGCAGGAAGCTGGAATGAGGAGCTGGAGCTGGGTATTGAACTCAAGTGCTCCCATGTGTTCCTGGAGAGTCTGTGTGTAGGCACAGTCTCTTAGGCAGGCACAGAGGAACGGAATTCCTGGGTCATTGGTTGTTTGATGAGACCTTTTTGAAAAATGTGAACTGCTTTTCAAAGCTGCCACACCACTTTATGCTTGGCAGCCACGTGTGAGGCTCCCAGCTTTTCTGCATCCTTGACAAGGTTTACGGCCTTCCTAAAGTTTATCTGGTGCCGGCGCTGTGGCACAGCGGGTTAATGCCCTGGCTTGAAGCGCTGGCATCCCATATGGGCACCAGTTCGAGACCTGGCTGCTCCACTTCTAATCTAGCTCTCTGTGATGGCCTGGGAAAGCAGTAGAAGATAGCCCAAGTCTTTGGGCCCCTGCACCCGCATGGGAGACCTGGAAAAAGCTCCTGGTTCCTGGCTTCGGATCGGCATAGCTCCGGTCATTGCGGCCAATTGGGGAGTGAACCATCAGATGGAAGACCTCTTTCTCTCTCTCCCTTTCCTCTCTCTGTGTAACTCCAATTTTCAAATATATAAAAATAAACGAATCTTAAAAAAAAAAGTTTATCTGTGAGGCAGAGCCAAGTGAAGCAGCCTGCCGCCAGAGGTGGGGGAGGACAGACTGGAGTTTGGGGTATTGGGCTACCCTGGTGAGAAGCTGGAACTGAAGTCAGAGCTGACATCAATCCCAGGCACTGAAGTGGAACACGGGCGCCCCATCTAAGTAGTTTCTGTGCTATGACTTCTCCTTTGAACGAGTGGTTCTCTGAGAGTACACTGTGTGTAAGAGTATATTCCACTAGCGTGTGAATTTTCCACTTTTCCTTCTGTGACGGATTTCCCACTTCTTCACATTGTGGTCACTGAAGATACCTTCTATGATGTCCACTTCTATTGAGACTGGAATTGGGGCCTAAGATGGGGTCCATCCTGGAGAGCCTCAGGCGCGCATCAGAGGATCTGCGTCCTGTGGCTGGGTACGCAGTCCTGCCCGTGTGTGTCAGACGAAGCTGGTGTCTCATGTGTAGTGCTCCATTCCACCTCCTTCTCTGGTGCTTCTGTCGACTCCGGAAAGTGCGGGTATGGGAGTCTCCAACTACCAGTTTGGAGCGGTCTCATTCTCCTGTCAGTCGCGTGATTGCTTCTCAGATCTGGACGGTGTGAATTAGGTAAATATTTAGAAATGGTCGAACTTCTTGCTGTACAAAATTTTGTGACTAATAATGTCCTTCTTTGTATGTCAGAAACTGTTTCTGCCATTAGCATAGCCACTCATGTTTTGTTTGGTTTGCTGTCTGTGTGGACTATCTTTTTACCGTCGTTCCCATTTGCCTTTTTTGTCTTTGATCTGAAGTGAGTCTCTGTGAATTGCAAGTAGATTCACGTGTTTCAACTCCTAGCTTTGGTTTACCTGGGGCTGTGGCTTGAAGGTCCAAGGCCCTCCATGGTTCCTGCTGAAACTTGAACTTCATTGCAGCAGTACTGAGAGGTGGGGCATTGAGGAGGCAGTGAGGCCAAGAGGCTACAGCCTCATGGGCAGGATGAGAGACTTCCTGAAAGGGTGTGAAGGGCCTAACACACTTCTTCCACCAAGCGAGCATGCCACAGGAAGGCACCATTTTTTAAATTAACTTTTAGATTTTGGATTAGGATATAATACTTGTGCATTTTTTTAAAAAAAAATTATTTATTTATTTGAAAGGCAGCATTACAGAGAGGCAGAGGCGGAGAGAGGTCTTTCATCCATTGGTTCACTCCTCAAATGGCTGCAATGGCCAGAGCTGGGCTGATCCAAAGCCAGGAGCTTCCTCCAGGTCTCCCACATGGGTACAGAAGCCCAAGCACTTGGGCCATCTTCTACTGCTTTCCCAGGCTGTAGCAGAGAGCTGCATCAGAAGTGGAGCAGCTGGGACTTGAACTGGTGTCCAAATGGGATGTCGGCACTGCAGGCAGCAGCTTTACCTGGTACGCCACAGTGCTGGCCCCTAGTTGTACATTTTTTTCCTAAAGATTTATTTATTTATTTGAAAGTTAGAGTTACAGAGAGGAGAGGCAGAGAGAAAGAAAGGTCCTCCATTTGGTGGTTCACTCCCCAGCTGGCCGCAACAGCCAGAGTTGTGCTGATCTGAAGCCAGGAGCCAGGAGCTTCTTCTGGGTCTCCCACGTGGGTGCAGGGGTCCAAGGACTTGGGCCATCTTCTACTGCTAGCCCAGGCCATAGCAGAGAGCTGGATCTGAAGTGGAACAGTCAGGTGTCAAACTGGCACCCATATGGGATGCTGGCACTTCAGGCCAGGGCGTTAACCCACTATTTGTGGGTTTATTATTAACCTCTATTCGTGCATTTTTAAGGGGTATAATGCAACTTTTCAACACTTCCACATAGGTTACACTGGTCATACCAGGCCACCACCCTTCACATTTCTTTATCATTTTTTGGAAGAAGACAACATCTTAGAAGCAGAGAGGGAGCCCTTTCCTGATAGAGAACCTGCTGGTGCCTAGATCTTACACTTCCCACCCTCCAGAACAGTGAGAAAGGAATGTCTGGGCTTTATTGTTAGCAGGCCAAGATCTTTCGAAACGTAGCACGAAAGGACTGAAATGTCTGGCAGTGTCTCACTCTCTCCTACTATTTGAAACACAGCTCTTGGGGCTTCCCAGTTTGCACTTATTTAGCCTCATCCATGGGACTGTATCTACCCCCTGCCTCTTGTCCTCCAGGGTTTCTGATGAGCAAACTGATGACGAACTTAGGGGAAAATGGCAAAAGATACCTTCTCAGCTCCACGGACGTAAACAACGTACCTGATGGTGTCTTGGGTGACAGAACATTCTGTGGTAGCGTCACGATGCCAATGGAGTTGTGCCATCATTTTGAGACCTGTCATTCAGATATTAAAAAAAGAGTGGATATGTTGAGTGTTGACATTAGCAGGTCTTCAAAAGCCATGTTACTAAAGATTTGAAAATTAGAAGTGGCCACTGACACCTCCTACAGGTTTTAATTTCTCAAAAAATCAATATCAATCTCTATCATGAACCTAAGGAAAAAAAGATGTGGGGTCCCTTTTTTTTTTTTTTCAAGTAGAAAGGATCTTGAGAAAAGCACGATGGAGCATAAGCAGGTGTGCCTGGTGCAGTGCTTGCTCTGACATTGTGATGTCACTCCCACCGCCTGTACGAGTGCCCGGCTCAGCGGAGCTTCTTGTCCGTGTTGCCCAGGAAGCTCCTTGGTGCTGACTTGTAGGACTCGGACCAAGCCAGCTGTTTTCCCTTTTGTTTTCTTGATGTTTGGTTTACTTGTACTTTTTCCTATTTTTTTTTATTTTGCCTTTTTCTATTTTATTTTGTTCTTTTTTCTATTTTGTTAATTTTATTCTCTCCCTCTCTTTTTACTTTTTACCCTTGTGTGCTTCATTTTACTCAATGGTTTCTTTTTTGACTTTATTTTCCTTGTCACTTCTTAATATTTTCTGTTGTTTTCATTTTCTAATTCTTATTCTATTTCCGTTTTCTGTTTCCTTCCCCCTTTTTATTCTATTTATTTAGATAGGACAATTAGACTTACTGATTAGGTTTATTAGTATAGTTAATGTAGCTGGTGGTTTTTTATTTTTAAACAGATTTCCTCATTTTTTGTGCTCTCTCATTTTTAATGTTTTATTCCTATGGAATTAGCCTGAGGGTTTTTTTTTTTTTTGACAGGCAGAATGGACAGTGAGAGAGAGAGAGACAGAGAGAAAGGTCTTCCTTTGCCGTTGGTTCACCCTCCAATGGCCACCTCTGCCAGCGCGCTGCGGCTGGCACACCGCGCTGATCCAAAGGCAGGAGCCAGGTACTTATCCTGGTCTCCCATGGGGTGCAGGGCCCAAGTACTTGGGCCATCCTCCACTGCACTCCCTGGCCACAGTAGAGAGCTGGCCTGGAAGAGGGGCAACCGGGACAGAATCCAGTGCCCTGACCGGGACTAGAACTCGGTGTGCCAGTGCCGCAAGGCGGAGGATTGGCCTATTAGCCATGGCACGGGCCTAGCCTGAGTTTTTACATATAGTTAGTGTTATCTGTTGGTAACATTAGCACAGCGAGTGTTCATTTTCGTTTGTTTCATAGGTGACTAGCTAATGTTACTAGTGTCAGAGAGAGTAGAGAGGCGGGCACCCCCACAATGGAAGGCCACGCAGCCTTCCCCAGTGAGGAAGAGGTCCTCGATGGATACCAAGTCCTCAGGACCATCGGCCAGGGCAGCTTCGGGCGGGTGAAGCTGGCCCACCACCTGGAAAGCGGCACCCTGGTGGCCGTGAAAATCATCGCCAGAGAGGACCAGGACTCCTCCAGCTTCCGGCAAGTGCAGGTGGAAGCGGATATCATGAGGGGCATGCGTCACCCGAACATCATCAGGCTGCTGCAGGTACAGCACACAGCAGAGCGCGCGTACATCTTCATGGACTATGCGAGCGGAGGGGACCTCGAGCAGTACGTGGCAGAGCGTGGCCGCCTGCGGGAGGCAGAGGCGCGTCTGATGTTTAACCAGGCGTTATCCGCGGTGCACTACTGCCACAGCAAGCGTGTTGTGCACAGAGACTTAAAATTGGAAAATTTCCTTTTGGATGCTGGGCTAAATATTAAACTGACTGACTTTGGCCTGAGCTGCAGACTGACTGAGGGGCAGCACTTAGAGTCATTTTGTGGGACCCCACAGTATTGCGCCCCGGAAGAGTTCCTAGACGAAGAATTCAATGGCTATAAGGCAGATGTGTGGAGCCTGGGCGTGGTCCTATATACCATGACAACAGGGTCCCTCCCCTTTGTTGGCAAGAACTGGGTGCAGCTCGAGGACAACATCTTGTCTGGGTATTACCAGGTTCCACTGTATATGAGCCTGGAGCTCGAGCACCTGTTAGGGAGGTTACTGACCTATGACCCTGGGGAGCGACCCACAGTGGCAGACACTATGGGCCACCAGTGGCTCAGCATGGGACAGGAAGAACCTAGAACAAGTGGGATAATGCGTGAGGAGCCTCTGGGTTCTCCCCAGGAAAAGGAAATCCGCGAATGCCTGTTGGGCCTGGGTTTTCAGCTGGGCCGGAAGGAACAGGACAGCCACTTGACCCCCATACTGTGCTGGGAGATATCCCAGCAGGGGGACTTCAGTGGACCAGAAAAAATGGAAGTAACGGATGTGGAGCCTCTGGGTTCTACCCAGGATCCTGAGGTCCGACAATACCTGGCAGGCCTGGGCTTTGAGCTAGGCCACAAGGAAGAGTCCCTGACACACAGCCATCGAGCTGTCACCTGGTCTCCAGTGCTGCAGAAGGGCCATGCTGGGGGGAAGTGCCCGCCGCAGGCTGCTCCCTCCCCTCACAGCCATCATGTTGCCCAGCGCCTCCCTGATCGCTGGGACCGCAGGGGCAGTGCCCGTGAGTGTGCCCTTCCCATCTCCCCACTGCTGCAGCCCGAGAAGGACCCGGCGTCAGAGCCAAGTGCCTGCCAGGAAAGGACCCCCAGGATGGCCAATCCCCGGCCTGGCATGATGCGGAGGTGCCCCACTCCCAGGCCAGCCCCCAGGCAGGGCTCTGTGGCCTCCCTCTCCACCCTCAGCCCCCAGAGCAGTGAGGACCATGTAGAAGACAGGAGCTGCTTCCAGGGAGCGGCAGAGAAAGCAAGCATCCCAGGGAGGCAACTGGAGGGGGAGGCGGGGACGTCAGCCACTCTCGCGGACACGAGCCAGGGCCGCCAGGGGCTCTGCCGGAGGCTGGTGAACTTCCTCCTGCGGGTGTGCGGCGTCCTGTCGGCCCCAGAGGCAGGCCCTGGTGTCCAGAGGAGAAAGGTTATCCCTGCGTAGCCTCATTCAGGGGAAACGCCCAACAGGAGGGGCCCTGACACTGACTGCCTGAATTGTAGTGCACGGTTTTTAGCCTTTTGTTCATGATTCTCATGAATAAAAATCATAATGGCATGCACAAATGGGGTCCAGCGGGATGCCGGGGTCTGTCTGTGCACTGCGGAACAGTTTGATCCAGTTGACTGCACACGGATCACTACGGAAAAGACCGGGGCTGCCTGACGTCACATCTGAGGATTCCAAAAAGGCTCACTTCATAGAGACCGAATGATGGCTCCCAGAGGCAGGGGCTGGGGGAGGGACAGGCCCGCAGCCTGTGAGGTTGCAGATGCACAGGACGAGGTGGGTGCTGAGCTCCGGGCACCTGGGAGCTCCTAGTGCAGTGATGTCTGAGAAGAGCTGCAAGAGCCCCTGCCCCTGCCCCCCTGCATTGTCACTGGGGAACACGAGGACACCAGGGCCTCGAGCCAGACGTCCTGGTGTGTGGGGTCAGCCAGGTGTGGAGCTGCATGGCTGCAGCCTGGGGGGCGGGGGCAGGGAGCACTTGGAGTGCGTCAGAAAGGTTCCATGGAAAAGTGATGTCAGAGAATCGTCACAGTCACCCCAGCAGAGATGATCCACAGTGGTCCTGAGGGACAAGGCCCCGAGCCACATGCAGGGCAGAAGTGCAGACTGCGTGGGACCTGACACGCACGTCCCCTGGGTGCCATTCTCAGAGGGCCCCATGGGTGGGTTCATGCTGCCTGACGTCCTCCACATGAGGACCAAGTCCTGGGAGTCACAGAGGCGGCCTGGGCACGGCCCCCAGGGGGCTCAGGGGTCGCCCGTCTGCTGCTGTGTTTCCTGACTCTACTACGCAAGTCCTGGGCCTTTGCACACTGGCGTTTGCTCCTTTTGGGAGCTGTGGCACAGTGCAGTCCCTCTGCAAGGCCCTTGGGCCCCAGTCTGGGGCCTGCAGTCCATTTGAGTGTTCAAGGGGTGCCCGGCAGTGGGCCAAGAAGACTGATGGCAAAGACAACAGCCCAGAGAGCCAGAGGGCTGGCGGGAAGGGGGCCTTGGCTAAGACAGGTTCTGGGGTCCCAGTTACTGAGATTTCCAAGTGAATAGCCAATGCGTGGATGGGAGGCCCATCAGGCCTTCCTCGGGCATCCTAGGAAACTGAGCACCCAGGAAGGGCTCTAGCCCCTCGTGCATTGGCTGGCCCTGCTGTGTGCATGGCCTTCAATGTCCTATGACGGCCAGCGGTCATGGTCAGGGATGGCCCTGGGGCCTCCCTGTCAGGTAAGACTGACCTTCACCCTGAGAGCAGGGCTGGGGGGAGCAGGCTTGTTGCATCCCTTCTGCCCCCAGGGTGGGTTTTCTTCATGCCCAGCCACCCGTGGCCCCCCAGTGTCCCTGTATTTCCAATTCATGCCTGACTCCATCACCGTGAGGACAGGACTCCAACTTTTGGGACCTCCCTCAGCATCCCCTGCAGACCTTTGCGACCTCCACTTGCCCCTCTCTCTACATACACTGAGCCATCCTGTTTTCCACAGCTACTGGGCCACCCCTGGGCCTTTGCACGTGCTGTTTCCTCTCTAGGAAGCCCTCAGGTCAGACACATGGCTGAGATGCCCTGGGATCCCTGAGAGCTGTCAGACATGAATTCCACACAGAAGCCCCCACATCCAGCTGAAGGAGGGGGCCCTCAGTGAGTAGACTCCCCTGGGTACAAAGGAAGGACGGGCACGGCACTGCCCATCCCGAGGGCAGCTTGTGAAGGGGGGGGGGTAGCAGACCCCTACAGGAGCAGCCCTGGGCACTACTGCGGAGGTCTCCAGGCAGTTGGAAACCTGTGCTAGGAGGCCACAATCAGTGGTGGAGGCCCAGTACTCTGGTTTCCAGAACAACCCCCCATTGCTGCCTGACTCTGGGTCTCACCTGCATTGTCCCCCAGTGCAGGTGGGCAGAACCAGTTCAAGAGCATCCTCCAGCCTCTTCCACCCCACCTCCCCCACCTCCCCCATCTCCCCCTTGTCACTAGCTCCCTCCATGACCCCCACCCCCTTCATCTCCTATTGCGTGCCTCTCACAGCTGTTTCTGTCTGGGTGCCCTGAGCTTGGCAAGATCAGCAAATCCCATGCTGAGCCGGGCCCTTGCCTTGTGACTGACAGCTCCCCGAGTCTTCCATGATGAGCCAAGGGACTGCTGGGCAGACTGTGGCTCCCCAGACACAGCCTACCTCTGATGAAAGGGCCGCCTTCCTCTCCATCCCCCATTCAGCCTTTGGCTGCACACTCACCTCCTCCTCCTGCCCCCAAACCACACCTCCAATGGGCAGGTGCAACAGCACATGGGACCCCAGGGCCACACAGTGTCTCATGAGGACCAACAGCAGCGACCCAGAGCAGAGGGCAGACAAGAGCCCACTGAGCAGCCAGGACACTGCATGTGGCGGTGGCGGTGGGCCACAAAGAGGGTGAGGCGGGCCTGGGGCTGTCCCGCCTGTCAGCCCAGCTGCTCTGCTCTCAACACATACCAGGTGCTGAGATGCACTCTGAATAAGGGGCTGCCGAGACCCCTGTGATTATGCCTTCCAAGACTTTGCAGAGAATGCATGGGCAGGGAAGAGCTGGGGTGGATGAGCCCAGGGACCCAGAGGCTGGGAAGACTTAGAAACACAGTTGGGCAGTATCCCCAAGGCACAGGGAGTCCCCACGTGTCCTCCAGAAACTGTTGCCCATGGCCCAGCCACACTGGGGGCAGCATTCCAAGTCCATAGGGACAGCTGCAGCATCTCACAGCAACTGAGGGCCAGCACCTGCCAATGTCCATTTCGAGTGTCGGCTCACGCAGCCACGTAGCTGTGAAGTGGCCGCCATTACGCCATTTCCAGGGGGAAACCAAGGCTCTGATGGGGTGAAGGACTTGCCCAAAGTCACCCAGAGGCTTTGGGCTGCTGGCCTCCTGAAATTGTCCCTGAAGTGCACGACTGTCTGGGGCATTCCCATCTGCTGAAAGCAGTCCAGAGCAGATTGAGGAGTCTGGGTAGCAGTTGCACAGTAGACAGGCAGGGCCAGGAAAAACTCCCCAGATGAGCAGAGTCCGGGCAGGGCAGGAGTGGGATGGGATGTGGGCACTGCCAGTTGACAAGGAGAGAAGGTGTTCTCAGTGTTGGACCCCTGTGCAAAGGCCCACAGTATGATGCAGCCTGGCCCAGGTGGCTCCACATGGAGCAAAGAGGCGAAGACGTCACTGAGGTGAGAGGGAAAGCTCCAGCCTCCACCTCCTCCTGCCCACCTCCTGCCTGGGCAGCTTGACCTCCCTTTGTCTCTGCCATAGGCCCAGCCACAGAGCTGTCTCCTCCCATCCCAGGCTTCTGTGTTGCTCTGTCCCTGCTCAGACACCATGGGTGGACCCCACCCTGGAAGTGGTCACCACTGAGGGGCAGTCCTCGCACCCCTGCAGTGTTTATGCAGAAACCCAATGCCCAGCCAAGTCACCACGCTTTCATGGCATTCACGGCAAAGGGGATCCAAGGCGCTCTGGTCTTGGGAAGGAACCCAGGGTGCCTGCACCAGGCAACAGCGAGGGAGGGATCTTACTTGGGTGAACTTGACCCCATTTCATGATTTGCTTAGCCATCTTTCTGCTTTCTGAGCTTGGCCCAGCGTATTCACACCACTCACAGGCTGTGGCCCAAGGGTGCTTCCAGTACTTTGGAGGTTCCCAAAGCAAAGGGGGCTAACAGGGGCCTGGGTATCCAGAAGGGCTTCATGGAGGAGGTGACCTCTAGCTGGGTCTCCCAAGGGTGAACCATTACTGAGCCAGGACCTGGCACCCAGCAGGAGCCAAGCATGTGAGTGAGTGAACAAGTGAATGGGAATCATGAACTGTCAGTGGGGAGCGGAGGCTTGGAGACACAGGGTGCAGGGGGGCATGGTGGGGAGGGGCTGCAGCTCTTGCCAGCTTCCCTGGTCCTGTGTCCCGGTTGCTCAGGGAGCCCATGTCTGTCCTTGGCCCTGGAATTCTGCTTGTCATGCTCCAGAGCCCCAACTGTGTGTACCTGGTGTAATCAAGTGTAACTACCCATGCCACAGGGGCTGTGGGAAGAGGGGAGATAGGCCCAGTCCCTGCCTCCCAGCACTGAAGTCATGTGGGAGGGCGCACAGGAAGGGTAAGGTGGGGACAGGCCACACATCAGGGCTCCAACACCCAGCTGCCAATGGCCCCACGGGGTCTTCAAGAAGAGGAGCCAGTCATGGGGTGAGGGACAGACTCAGCTTTGGATGTGTCAACTTTGAGAGCCTGCATGGGCACTCACTGAGACCAGGTCTACCTGGGCTCCAGGTTTGTCCAGGCTGAGCCCAAGTGAACCACGCTGCTGGACACTGTGAAGGTCACGGCCTCCTTGGCAGACAGGCAGCCACTGCATAAGGAGCACCTGCCCTGGGGCCGGCAGTCTCTGGAATGATGCCCTACATCGCACTGGTCTTTGTTCCTCTCTTGTTTGCTCTGGCCTTTGGCTGAGGGGTCACTGGGGACCCTCTACAGGTGCAAGGCTCCTGGCAGCTTCTTTGGAAGCCCCAGTCTGCATGAATTTCTTTGGAAGTGTCTGGCTGTGGGCTGTCAAGTGGATGGGAGACACCTCAAGCTTGATCTCTTGCCCCTGGGTATGTGTATGATTGGTGGCCACGCTGTAGGGGTCACAGTGGAATGTACAGAGAGAGAGGGAGGGAGGGAGGGAGAAAGATTGATTCCACTTACTGATTCACTCCTCAAAATCACAACAGCTGAGGGTGAGGTCAAAGCCAGGAGTCAGAGACTTCTCCATGTCTCCCACATAGGTGGCAGGAATCCAAGACTTGAGCCATCATTTGCTACCTCCCCAGGCACACATCAATAGGAAGGTGCATCAAAAGTGGAGATGGGAGGGAGAGACCAAGATGGCAGTGTAGTAACAGGATGTTCCCAGTTGAGCAGGGCAAAATAGATAGTTAACAAGGAGAGGAGATACAAACAAGTGACAGAGTGGTGAGAAATTCGAGCAGAGAAGCCCAGGAGTACAACAGACTGGTCAGGTCCACGCTGAGGGAGCAAAAAAGAAAGAGAAGCGGTGGAGGCACAGAGGCAAATGAGGAGATTGAAGCCCCCCTCTCTCCCTTCTCATCTCCTCATCCAGCGAACCAGGTGAGAAATCAAGAGTCCACAGAGCTGCAGATAGTGGTGGGCAGGGGAGCCTGGCGCACTGCACTTGAAGCTCCAAGCGGGAAGGAAGAGAAAGTATAGGGGAACAAACAGAGAGGACGGGCACATCCCTGTCCATCTATGTCTCCTCCCTTCCCCACAACCCGACACGGAGCTGGCAGGGAGAAGTCATATTGATTGTTTACAATTTCGAATGTAAGCAGGGGGCTGCCACATTTGGCTCCTGTGCACATGCCCATCAATTGCGGGGCCACCTCACAACAACCCCAACCCGGGAACAAGGATCACAACATTTCAGAGTAATTTCCTCCCCACCATGCAAGCTGTACAACAAAGAGAAATCTTGAATGTTGAAATCTCAAGCTAGTTTCACCCACCAGTGAGAAGCCAGCCCAGCTCCCAGTAGGCGGGGCTTGGTGCACCAGAGCTCTCGTGCCCGCCCCCATCACCATTGAGAAGTAAACAGGACACCTGGAGGCAGGGCTGCGGGCTTCCACCTGCAAAGCACAGACACACAGCAGCTCACAGAAGAGGAAAATCTCACCACAAGCACCAAGAAAAGAGAAAAGCAACCAGAAATGCCGAAAAAAAAAAAAAAAAACCAAAAACAAAGGAAAAACCCTGAATAAGAATAAGGAAGACACTATGAGCCCCCTAAAGGAACACTTCAGCTCTTCAATAATAGAAGAAACTGAAGAAGAAGAAATCAAGGATATGCCAGAAAAGGAATTCAGAAAATTAATCGTCAGATTACTTAGAAGCAATCAGAAACAAATTTATGATCTAAATGAAAAGTGCTCCCAAGAAACTGACATATTAAAGAGAAGTCAGAATGAAATATTAGAAATGAAGAATTCAATAGATCAATGCAGTGGAAAGCCTTAACAACAGAATAGGTGAGATGAAAGAGTGTCAGAACTAAAAGACAAATTTCTAGAAATAATACAGTCAGACCAAATACAAGAGGAAGAAATTAGAAAATTAAAAATTACAGTTGGAAATTTACAAGAGTCTATGAAATGACTCAACTTATGGATTCTAGGAATTCTGAAAGGCATGGAAAGAGAGAAATGATTAGAAGTCCTTCTTAATGAAATAATAACAGAGAACTTCACCAATATGGAGAAAGTACAGAAGTACACAGAACTCCCAACAGACACGACCAGAAAAAAACTTCACCATGACACACTGTAGCAAAACTCTCCTCAGTGAAACATAAAGAACAGACCTTAAAATGTGCACCAGAATCAACAAGTCAGATTCAGAAGAGACCCAATTAGACTCACTCTGGACTTCTCATTGAAAACCATATAGGCAAGAAGACAATGGCAAGACATATTCCAAGTTCTAAGAGAAAAAAACTTCCAACCCAGAATATTATACCCTCCAAAACTCTCATTTATGAATGAAGGAGAATAAGGATCTCCCACAAAAAAAAAAAAAAAAAAAACACAGAAATTTAAAGAATTTGTGACTAATCACCCAGCCCTACAAAAGATGCTCAAGGATGTGCTATACACAGAAACAGAGAAATAGGAATACTAGTACAAAAGAACATGAACGCAGAAAATGACCTAGCAAAAGTGCAAATGAAATCCAAAATACATAAACAGGATTATTTACGGAAACATGGCAGGGCAAAGTTGGTACTTAACAATAGTCACACTGAATGTAAATGGTCTCAACTCCTCAGTTAAGAGGCACAAACTGGCTGAATGGATTAAAAAACGAAACTCATCTATTTGTTGCCTACAAGAAACACATCTTACCAACGAGGACGCTCACAGAATGAAAGTGAAAGGATGGAAAAAGTTAATCCACGGTAACAGAAACCAAAAAAGAGCTGATGCAGCCATTCTAATGTCAGACAAGATAGACTCTAACACAAAAACTTTAAAAGAGACAAAGAAGGACACTATACAATGATTAAGGGATCAATTCAACAGGAAGGTGTGATTATTATAAATCTATATGCAGCTAATTACAGGGCACCTAGCTATTTAAAAGAAATATTAAGGGACTTAAATGGAGATATAGACTCAAATACCATAGTAACGGGGGACTTCAATACTCCACTTTTAGCAATGAACAGATCAACCAGACAGAAAACCAACAAGGAAACAACACCATAGATCAAATAAACTAAGCAGATATCTACAGAGCCTTCTACCCAAGAGCCACAGAGTACACATTTTTCTCTCCAGGGCATGGAACTTTCTCTAGGATTGATCACATGCTAGGCTGTAAAGCAAATCTCAGCAAATTCAAAAAAATCAAAATCATACCATGCATCTTCTTGGACCACAATGCAATGAAGCTGGAAACCAACAATTCAAGAATCTGTACATCATATGCGAACACATGGAGACTGAACAACATGTTTTTTAATGAACAGTGGGTCATGGAAGAAATCAAAATGCTTGTGGAGACAAATGAAGATGACAGTATAAAATATCAAAATTTGTGGGATACAGCAAAAGCAGTATTAGGAGGGAAGTTTATAGCAATTGGTGCCTACATCAAGAAACTAGTAAGGCACCTAATAAGAACTATCTATGCACTCCATGGATCTAGAAAAACAACAGCAAACCAAACCCAAAACTAGTAGAAGAGAAGAGATAATTAAAAATAGAGAAGAAATCAACAAAATTGAAAGCCAAAAAAAAATACAAAAGAGCAGCAAAACAAAGTGCTAGTTTTGTGAAAAAATAAATAGAATTGACAACTATTGGCCAACTAATCAATAAAGGAAGGAGAAGACCCCAATCAATAAAATTAGAGATGAAAAAGGAAATGTAACAACAGACACCACAGAAATAAAAAGAATCATCAGAAATTACTACAAAGAGCTGTATGCCAACAAATGGGGAAACCTAGAAGAAATGGATAGATTCTTGGACACATACAACCTACCTAAATTGAACCATGAATACATAGAAAACCTAAACAGACCCATAACCCAGACAGAAACTGATTCGGTAATAAAGATCCTCCCTATGAAGAAAAGCCCAGGACCGGATGGCTTAACTACTGAATTCTACCAGACATTTAAAGAAGAACTAATTTCAAATTCTCAAGATATTCAAAACAATTCAAAGGGAAGGAATCTTCCCAAATTCTTTCTACAAAGCCAGCATCACCTCAATTCCTAAACCTGAAAAAGATACAACAAAGAGAACAACAAATTTCCCTGATGAACACAGACACAAATATCCTCAAAAAATACTAGCCAGTCAAATCCAACAACACATCATAAAGACCAGCCACCTGGATAAGTTATCTTAATAGATGTAGAGAAAGCATTTGACAAAATACAACACTCTCTCATGATGAAAACTCTAAACAAACTGGGTTTAGAGGAACATTCTTCAACACAATCAAGGCAATCCACGACAAACTAACAGCCAGCATCCTATTGAATGGGAAAATGTTGGAAGCATTCCTTTTTTTTTTTTTTTTTGGACAGGCAGAGTGGACAGTGGGAGAGAGAGACAGAGAGAAAGGTCTTCCTTTGCCGTTGCT